AAGAATTTTGAGCTCCTAAATTCCTCTGAGCCCTCCAGACATCAGAAATAGCCCAAAACACTTGCCAGAGATAAATAGTCTCTGTTTGCCTGGGGGAATATACAGTGTCCTAATCTGAAGCAGGTGCTTTTCAAGATGATTCTTGTTTTTCTCAAGATAGGCCCCCAACACCCTTCATTGGCTCCTGGCTGCAAAACAAAGTCAGGTTTTAGCATAGTCCAAACAGAAAAATACAAGTTCTTTTCTGCGAAAAAAAAATCACCCACAATTCAAAGGAATGACAGGATCTGGCCAACAGGTATTACCTGACACCGATGGGGAAGATGAATAAAAGACGATCTTGAGCATATGAGACAGAATAAGAAGCAGGATAGGGTAGAATTCATTGATATGGGGTACTCACCCATGATTCATGGGTCCTAATGCTAAACAAGGTAGCTTTTGGAAGCATGGATCTAGTAATGTTCTACATCAATTAAACAGAGATGGAAGAACTTCCTCGGTCTCCTATGGAGGAAAGGGTCCTGAAGGCTCATGGAGGTGGAACTGTGTGTTCACCAGCCATCTCAGTGTTCCATGTGATGGGCAGAGGATATTAGCTTCACAGAACAAGGCGGCAAAGAGTTGAGTATCTGCATCTTTGGAGAAGCCTTATTATTTCTACTTTCCATAAGCCAAGGTTGATAGTAGAGAATTCTGTCATGAAATTTAACTTCATATTAATAGCAGGGGTGTCATAATTCTTGAAGACAAAGGTCAGAAGCTTAACAAAGGCTGGCATGAGCTGTAACGGCCAACATAGACAGTCAGACCAGTGTGACAGCCAACGTGCTTTTACCTGTAGGGCTACCTGATGTTGGCTAATGGATCACGCGTACAGGGGCAAGATGGATGGGCAGATAACAAGAGTGTTGCTCAATGTATAGTTGGAAAACTCAAGAAATCATGATCAAAAGTCTGATATTAGTTGCTGTCATGGAAAATTGTGATCTTTCAACCCTCACCTAGTTTCTAGAACTCAGGCAGTTCACAAACTTAGAGTGTTTGAGAGAAGACTTAATATCTAGCATAATTCTAACACTGGAACCCTAAGAGGTGGCATTAGAGTTCTTAGGGGTAAAAGGGCTAAGTGGAAATATCAAAAATTGACCACAGTTTAGTGTCACCACTGTGCTCCTGGAGAACCAGATACCTACTTCTCAAGCAGCAAAGGCTTGGAAGGTGCAGAGATGTTACCATCCTGAACTGTGCACCACTGGTGAGAATTTTGGGTTTGGAAACACACACTTCCATCTGCCCTCAATAATGTTGCCAGTATCTCTGGTTATATCCTGACTGCGGTGAACTTACTCAAGACCTATAATAGTATACTTGCTGACTTTCCCCGAGTGGCATCTTTCTGAGTCTATCGATCTGAGTCTGTGATTGCTATGTATCAATATGGTGTTCACCCAGTAGGCTATGCATCACTCATGTTTTCCCTAGTGTGTGGCTTCGTTTTTAACTTTTGTTGTGATATCTTTTATCTTTCTCAGTTTGTCTTAATGTATTCAAGTCAATCAATGTTTTCTTTTTTACTTTTAGAGTTTTTAGGAGAGTCTTTTTTTTCAAGAACATAAATACATTCTGTTAATATTTGTTCTGCTACTTCTATAATTAGTACACTTACATTACATATATATTGCATATGTTTATCATGTTGTAGACAGGTTGTGTGAGCTCCATATTACTTTTACTTTATTGATGAGAGTTTTATTTCCTACTGATATTGCCTTAATATTTGTCCATGGTTTTAGGTTGGCTCCTTCTATCTCATCGCCGACCATGTATAATCATTGTGAAGATTTCTGCAGCTGAGATCAGATATAAACTTCTTCATTCCATTCTACCTTTCATTTTGCCATAATAGTTTTCCTTCTAAAATACATAAGATACAGAGTAGATCATGTTCATCTATTCTTAGGAACTTCCAATGGTTCCCAAGCAAATAATTTTTTTCATAAATATTTATATAGAAATTATGAGCCAGGCACTGTTACATGGACTTTATATATAGTAATTTAATTAATTCTCATTTAATTCTAAAAAAACCAGAAATCTGAGGTAGGTATTATTATTATTTCATCTACATATTACAGCTTAAGAAACTAAGGGACAATACAGTTAAGTAACTTGGAAAACTGGGGATTCAAACTATATTTTCTGGTGCCAGAATTGGGCTTTTAATCTCTGATTCTACTGACTTCTAATCAAGCCTCTTCAATATATATATAGAACTAAATCAAATGTTTTAGCATACCTTCCAACAACAACTGATCTTGCTTTTGTTTTTATCTCATCATCTGGCCTGGGATAGATTGTAGTCTTTGATTCACCACACTGTATATTTGGGTTGTCATATAAATAAGTAAATTGTTGCAAGGATCTCTCTGTTAACTGTTGATAAAGCACAGTTACGGTATGGGGGGGAATCAATGGTCACCTCCTCTAGAATCCTCTTTTTTCTCTCTCGTCCTCACCTTCATTTTAGGTCCTGTAGGAGGTTTCAAATCTTTAACAGTGCACATTTTACATCAAGACTTTTAAACATGTTTGTTTGTGTGTCATTTACATGTAGGGAAACTATGGTTTTATCTCTGTGTTGTATGGCAAACTAAATCAACATCTGTGTTTCTCGGAATAAAAATATGAAGAAGTTAAAAAAAGGGGAGAGTTTTATGCTTTTAAAAAATATCTTTTATATATATATATTTGGAACCATTCACATGGTTAACAAGTAAATTAGGGAAAGAAAGAACACTAGACTTATTTTTTTCTTTCTCTAACAGTAGCCTTAGATGATAAAGACTCTTGAATTGGCAAAAAGGATCCCTGCAGACTGCAAAGACACTAATTATAAGAAACAGCAATTTGCATTATTTATAAGGAAGCTCTTTACATTATTTAGACCCTTCAGACACAATAGTCACTGAACTCCATTCTTTGAAAAGAATGAAGCAAAGTGACAGGGAAATAGAAAAGATATTCTAATAGCTTCATCTCATCACAAGAAAGAAAACACCTTTAAAATGTAAAAATGAATAAAATGGAAACCTCCATCTTTCCATGATGGTGATTCAGAGTACAGCATCCACTTAAATATTCCGACAAGCCTTCAGAGCTACCTGCAAGTTAAGCATTGTTAACTTTAGTATGTGCAAGGAGGGAAATGACTAAGATGCAATGTTTCGTAATTCAGGTATTGGAATTTAATTGGTCGCATTTTCTTTTACCAGCCATTTTGAAATGTACATGCCTGTACTACTAGTAAAGTGTTTTGTGTGAGCAGTCAAATCAGAGAAGAAAGGCCCGACTTTATCTGTTTTGTTTTTATTTTCTTCCCTCCTCTTTGGCCATTTTAATTTTATCCTGCAGTTTCACTTTCATCAGGATAATAGAGAGTACTCAGTGCTAAATTACACTAGCTTTTGATCTGAAGTTGAAGAGGCTGTAATATGAGAACCAGGAGAAGATGAAAAGAGAAAGAATTTGCCAAGCTGATGTTTTTCAAAAAAGGTTTACTAGTACATTTTATAAATGCTCAAAGAATGAATTATTTCTTTAGGCCTAAATTCTTTAAAGCCTTAGCATTTTTTGTTGCTCACTTAGAAGCAGATAAAATTTTTGTTTATCAAAGTGATCTCCACATTCTGATGGGCAAGATCTAATGCTTCCAGAGAAGCGTCTGGCCACCTCTCACCTGGTATTGCTGCTCCCTGACCTGTCTCAAGAAGCAGAATGACCATCTAGCTTCAAAGAATATTAGAATAAAGTATACATGACATATTAGCCTCACAAATTAGCACAGGCCCTCAAAGTATGCAGGAAATGAGGTTAGATCTGAAAGGAATCAGACCCGTGGTCTCATAAGCTTCTTAATCCTACGTGGGAAATTGGGCTCACAGGGCGTTGGAGCCACCATCTTTCTTTAAGTGTGGCAGAACCAGTAGTGTTTAGTGTTAAAGACCTGTTTTTCTAGGCCAAAATACTTTTGGCTTTTCTCTTAGATAATTTTTGCCATTGCATAATTTATGAAGAAAGCAGGTTTCCTTCAAGTTGGGCATCCACACCATAAACAAACAAACTGGACCCCAAATAGAGGCCCTTGAGGGTTATAGTTTCCTGCTCAGAAGCAAAGGCTCTGAAAATTCTGCTTTAAAATGCAAAAGTATTTTAAGTTACTGCTTCAAGGTATTAGTATATGTTAATTTAGTCCAATACTTAGGGTTTGGTAAAATAGTTATTAATTTAGAATACAGTGGTAATTAGGATAAGGTCATAAAATAATGAATACATGTAAACATAATTTTAGGCGCAGACATCATTCAAACATATACAGACTTAAAGTTATAAACAGTGGGAAAAGACAGGACCAGTTCTATATATTTGATTATTAAACTGCTTCTCAGATATTTTACAAATTTATTTCTATTGATAAACTTGGTTTTGGGGGCACGATCAATACACGATCAATTAACTGAGTACATGCTTCGTAATCGGAAAGTGAGAGTTGATCCTTGATACTACGGTTAATAGGACCTTGGTCATAGGGCTAATTTTTCCTAAGCTTTTGTTTCTTCAACTGTGAAGAAATATTAGGATAACTAATATTATCCTAAGTAATAAAAGCGTTATGGTGACTAAATGAGGTAAAGGAAATTATATGTTTTAAGCGATCAAAATGGGACAGAGTACAGTTTGAACTTGTGGTCGTAAATTTTGGTTCTTCTATTCGTTGGCTCTGTATCCAGAACCTTCTTTTTCCTCGTCTTCTTCCTCCACGCTCACTACATCAGTGCCAGTGGGGAGTATCTTTTCTTTCTGAACTAGCTTCTTTCTTCCTTTGTCCTCTAGGGGCCGCTGTTCTTTTCCGGAAAACACGCTGGTGCCTGGTTGCCGCGAGACCGTCGCCAGGCAACCGCGTGTACACACACTTCAGGGCCGGTCCTGATCGTGTCAATATGGCGGCGCGAAATACTTTTTCGATCTCTCCATCGGACTTGTCTCACAATTCAGTGTCTCACAATTCAGTGTCTCCTTCACAACTGCCACCAACCCCTCCCCCGACTTCGACCGCGGTCTCAAAGTCGCCCTTGGAGTGGAAGGCGAGCTCTCCGAACCCACAGCCTCGCTCCACAGGTCCTGACGAGTCACTGCCCCTCGCAGTGTTTTATGGACCGCTGGATGCCAAAAACCCTCTCCTGGCCACCTGCGAGAAGGAGATCCGGGAGTTACTATCCTTTATGAAGAGAAAAAAGCCTTTAGCGACAACAGAGGAACAGAAGCATGAATTCCATCGGCGCTGGTAAGCGAAGCAGGTTGCTGGGTAGGGCCCTGGCCCAGAAGGGCAATGAATGGAGCCCAATGAGGACATATTCTTGTCCATGCAGCTAGGGAATAGTCCAAGAGGTATTGTACATCATCGTGTTGATGTAGAACCTGGTCGCGGGCCTTGGAAATACTGACCTAAACGAAATTTAAGAAGTGGACACATGGCTATTACAAGTCTAACTCTTGATAAGGGTCACACCTTGCCTTCCTGCGCTGGTTTAATAAAATCCATACAGAAATGTCCATTCGGTTTCTGAGCGCCTCCTAATTGTTACTCCATGCCAATCAGCTTGTTGGCCCACTTAAAGGTCTCACAACTTTTCATGTCGAAGATATAATTTTTTTAAAAGATTTATTTATTTGTGCATACAGAACTGGGGTACAGGCCAGAGGCTCAGGGGCGGCGAGAGGCTTCACCAGAGACAGAGTGAGGAGCAGAACAGGCAGATCAACGAAGTACACTGCTGAGGGGAGCAGGGGGCGGGTCAGGAGAGGTCTGCCACGCCATGTGGTCACCTCCGGGGCAGGCGGGAATCGAACTCATGTGGAAGTGACTTCAGCTTCCTAGTGCTGTGCTTTAACCCGCTGCGCCACCAGGGAGGGCCTGGATATAATTTTGTATACAGAGAAAAAGGAATAATCTAAGATAACATGGGTTCTTGAGGCCATAAAACATGTCATTCTATGAACACGTGCCCTGTAATTTCTTTTTTATATTGTTATTAGGAACCACAGTGACCTTTTCTGGTTGCTCATTTCGCATATCTGTGGGGGGAGGGGTGAATTTTATCATCCTATTATTAAGGCACCCAGCAAACTACTTGTGTTTCTTGTTCATGTTAGCACTTTTTCCCCCTGGTCAAAATATACTGCAAACTGGACAGTTATAATGTAGATAAGTGGAAAAGAATATCAGAAGAGTGAATAGTTTCAGCTTATATTTTTATTCTTGTATTTAATATGAAAAAACAGTTTTAACTTTTATTATTCATTCATATGTTTAGCTATATATTTCAGGTCTTATTCTAGGAATGAGAAAGACATCTAATTACTGAAAGATATAAAAATCCCTAGCTTCTGGAGCATATTGTTCTGTGGATACAGATAACCACTAAACATAAGGAAATTATTTTACAAAGAGATTAAGTGCAAGGCAAAATTCAGGCAGGGAGTTGAGGATGGAGGATAAGGGGTGGGGAAGTAGGAGAAATGATCAGAGAACAAAGATGAGTAGGAGATAATGGCAATAAGTAAAGAGGATTTTTTAAAAATAATAAATATTTTATTATTCATGTGAACAAAAATAATTATTTTATTATTCATGAGTGCAAGAACTGGGGTATAGGCCAGAGGTGTGGGGGATAGCGGGGCATTAAAGGATACAGCAGAGACAGAGTGGGGAGCAGACCAGGCAGATGCACTGAAATACACTGCTGAGGGGAGCAGCAAGTGGGTCAGGAGTGTTCTGCTGCACCATATGGGTCAGCTCCCAAGCCAGGATGAAACTCTTGCTGCAGTGGCTGTGGATAGCTTCAGAGGGCTGCACTGTAACCCCTTTTACCACCAGGGAGGGAGGGCCCATAAGAGGATTTCTAAAGGAAGGGTCCACAACTAGGGGAGAATAGCAATTGTGAAAGACCCAGGATGAGCTCCTGACAGTGGAAAAACATCTGATAAAAGTAAGGAAGATAAAAAAATTAGCTTTTAGTGTATTAAGATTGAGATGTTATTCAACATCTAGACAGAGTTATTATGGAGACAGTTGGACATTTGATTCTGGACATCAAAGGAGATATATATGGAACTCATCAGCATCTTAATGATATTTAAATCATGACAGTGGGGAAAACTATGTTAACTATATTCTTTCTTTTCTCTGTTGCACACTGATTTTATTAAAGTTCTTTTCTACTGAAGGCCTTAAAAAAAAAAAAAAGTCCTAACACCGGTTGGAATATCTGAGCTTGAGTGTAGGAAAGTGCAGGTACTGGATTGGGGGCATTCCAACACTGACAAGCGGGGGAGATAAGAAGAAACTTATCTCTAAAGACTAAGAGGGAGTGACCAAGGAAAACCAGGAAGTGTGTTACAAATTGCAAGGTAGGCCAGAAAGAGTTTGAGGAAAGAACAGATGATTGACCAACAGTGTCAAATATTGTGGACTGGCCAAGGAAGTTGAGAACAGAAAATCAACCTAGGAATACTCATTACATTCCTAAACTCTTTATATATGTTTGTCTGTTTGTGCCTTCAATACTCTTTGCTTTTCCATCTCCATTACCAGGGCCAGCATTCTTATTCAATCTACCACCTTCTGCATTTTCCTAACAGTCACACAGGTCTCCTGTCTATCTGCCCCATAGCAGGCAGGGGGACCTTCCTAAGTAAATCATTCACTCCCCTATCTAAAGACTTCCAGTTGCTGCTTATTGCCTTCTCCCCTCTCTTCCCATTTTAATTGCTATCTTTTAATTTTTCTCTTTGTTGAAGTAACATTTGTCTACAACACTGTACAGTTTCTAGGATACAGTTTGTCACCCCACTGCTCCCACTGATTTTATTTTATTATTTATTTATTTATTATTTTTTAAATATTTATTTATTTATGCATACAGATCTGGGGTACAGGCCAGAGGTGCAGGTGTGGTGAGAGGATTCACCAGAGACAGAGTGGGGAGGAGCAGAATAGGCCGAGTGATGAAATACACTGCTGAGGGGAGCAGCGGGCGGGTCAGGAGAGGTCTGCCGCCTTGTGGATCTCCTGCGGGGCAGGCGGAGATCGAACTCATGCGAAAACGGCTTTAGCCGTTAAAGTGCTGTGCTTTAACCCGCTGCGCCACCAGGGAGGGCCAACAAATGGCTATTTTTTAAAGTCAATTTTTTTTCCAACTATAGGAACTTACATAAAGATTACAACTCCTAATAATAAAGTATAGATTTTGATCACACCAGATTAGAGTGTCATACATTATTAAATGCATATATTCATAATAAGCACATAAGACTTAGATATTTTATGTAGTTAATGATTTTCTAATGTAGACAATTTTGAATTCTGGCACAGCTATAATCAGTCTAATAATTCAAAGTTTATTACTATTATTTCCTTAAATTATGTACACTATATAGTGTATATTATATTTCTCTTGTTTAATCATTGCATATGTCATTTCAAACAAGTCATCTTAACTTACATGTAGCCCTCACTTAATTAGAAAAAAAAATCAATCAACCCTGATTGATTTAACAAAGCAGGCGTTTTTTCTTTCATGAGCAACAAACCTAGTCATCATATTTCATTCATAAGGTTTGGAAGAATGAACTCTTCATCTACATATTTCAACAATTTCAAGTTTGTGAATGTCTTTCATTCATTCATTCATCATTCATTCATTCATCCTAATAGTGTATGTATTCTAATACTTCAGGAAGCTCCTAAATTGGACAAAGGTGAAACAAAATCTAAGTAAACAAAAAACTCTCCTTTAAAAAATTTCTGTAGCCTGTACTCGCTTCATTATTTACTTGGCATTGTTATTTACTGTTTGGTACATGTATGTATTTTCCCACCGAAAGCTGTTATTCATCAGTCCTGGAAGGCAGAAATACCCTCCCCCTCCCTTTCACATCCTCCCATGCCTCTGAACGAATCCCATTAGTAACCTGGATGAGTTCATCAACATATTTCTGTTTGAAGTTGTTTCTTTAATATCCCAAAATGTGCATAGAGTCATGTTTAGCCCTTTAAGTTTCGATTCCTGTCTATATTAGCCAGCATGGGCAACTAATTACTAGTTACTAATTAGTTTAGGTTGCCATAAGAAAAATAACCATGTGCTGGGTGGCTTAACCAGTAGAAATTAATTTTCTCAAAGTTCTGGGGGCAAGGTTGGGCAGGGTCAGTTTCCAGTGAGAAGTTCCTGGCTGCAGATAACTATCTATTTTGTCCTTACATTGCCTTTTCTATGAGCAGGTGCGAAGAGAGAGAAAGCAAAGTTGTTGGGTCTCTTCTTATAAGCCCGTGAGTCACATGATTTTAGAGCCTTACCCTTGTGACCTCATTTAATTACTTCCTTAGGAGCCCTCCCCCCAAAGACAGCCACACTGTAGGGTTAGGGCTTCAAATTAGGAATTTTGAGGGACACAAACATCAGGACATAACCGTGCCCTTATCTCAAATTATTGAGAGGATTTCATAAGCATTAAGGAAAATCTGGATTTTCTGTAGAGGCATTTATAATTTCTGAGAAAGAGGATGGATAAATGTTAATTAAGTGAATATACAAAATAAGTACCTTTGGTACATTTTGCAATTCCATTTAGAAATCACTTTGAGAATACTGTTTACTTTGTTTTTGCTTTACTTGTTGGAATGAAGCATGAACCCAAATAGACTGACTGGATATTTGAACCCTTGAATCTTTTCTATAAAAGAATAAAATAATAGTAAGAAATTTTCTTTTTCCATAGTCATATATTTATTTATCAACAGGTGTTTATTGAGTACCTACATACACTAGGCGTTGGACAATGAAAATATAGTCAAGGCTCTTGCTTCAGTGGTGAGCATTTTAGAGGATTGGCAGGCATGGGAATATAATAGTTAAAGAGCAAGTTTACATAAAGCCTGAATTCACCAACTGTAAACTTGCGATATTGATATTATCCATCTCAGGGTTATTGTAAAAACAAAATGCCTGTCTTCAAAATCCAGAATAGCTCACACAATATTGAAGGAAAACAAAGTTTGAGGACTGACATAACCTGGCTTGAAGACTTACTCTAAAGCTACAGTAATCAAAACAGTATAATATTGGTGAAAGACCTGACAAAAATATCAATGGAGCCCATTAGGGAGCCCAGGAATAAGCCCATATAAACTCAGCCAGCTTATCTTTGATTACAATGGGATTACAATGGGATTACAATGGAGCAAAGATTGTCTTTTTAATAAATAGTCAATTTAAATGGACATCCAAAAGTAAAATAATGAATCTAGATACAGATCTTACATCCTTCTCAAACTTAATGAGAATTACAAATCTAAATGTAAAATAAAGGACAATGCTATAAAACTCTTAGAAGAAAACATAGAAGTAAACCTAGAAAACCTTGGGTTAAGCAATGACATTGTAGATAAATACCACAGGCATGATCAGTAAGAGAAAGAATTGGCAAGCTGAACTTCATTCAAATTAAAATTTTCTGCTCTGTGAAAGACTCTGCAAAGAGAATGAAAAGATAAGTCACAGACTAGAAAAAAATGTTTGCAGAAGAGTATCTGATAAAGGACCTTTACCCCAAATATCCAAAAAGCCCTTAAAACTCAAATAATAAGAAAAAAATTTGATTTTTCAAAATTGGTCAAACAAATAAGACATATACATGGGCAACAGAGGTATGAAAATATACTCCACCTCATCATCTATCATCAGGGAACTGCAAGTCAAAACTGCAATAGATAACACCTCATCTCTGAGAATGGTCCATATTAAACAAACAACCAAAAATGCCACCACTTTGGAAGATAGTTTGGTGATTTCTTATAAAATTAACCTATTCTTATCATATTACCCACCAATCATGCTAGATTTCACTCAAAGAAATCGAAAATTTATGTCCACACAAAAATTTGTACATGGATGTTTACAGATGCTTTATTACCCAAATGTAAGAAGCAACCAAAATTTGGTAAGTGACTAGGTAAGTGAGAAATAAACTGTGGTAAAACCAGACGATGAAATATTCAGCACATAAAGGTAAAGAGCAATGAAAAACAAACCATGAGAAAACCTTGGGGAATCTTAAAAATGATGAAGTAAAGAAGCCAGCAGGGAAAAGAAAGACCACGTACTGTGTGCTTCGAACATGACATTTTGAAAAAGATAAAACTATGGAAGGAGTGAAAATACATGTGTTACCTGGGATTAAGAGGTAGAGAGCGGTGGCGTGCAGAGCACTGAGGCTATACAATTCTATACAATACCATAATGATAGATACAAGTCATTGTATGCTTATTTGAACCCATAGAATGCACACAAGAATGAACTCTAAACTCAGCTAGGGACACTGGTGATCATGATTTATTCATGTAGCTTCATCAGTTGTAACAAATTCAACACTCTGGGTACAGAATGTTGCTCATAGAGCAGGTTGTGCATGAGTTGGGGCAGGGGATCGCCATACCTGCCACTCAAAAATTCTGTGAAACTAGAAGTGCTGTAAAGTCTGTTTAAAAAATACACAAAAAGAGCTTCCATCAGTACATGGTGCAAAGGAGGCCATCATTTAAATCATATTAATAAATATCAACAAGACACATTGGAAAGACTTAGTTAACTAAATCCTTAAGTTTTTAAGGATTTCTGCTAATGAGTTGAGGTTTTCTGCTAAATTTGAAAATGTTATTTTATGATTTTTACAGTGCCACCTCATTGTTTAATATCTGGACCAAATATGGCCCCCGGCTGCCAGCTGACTATTACAATGAAAAACTTCTGAAGGTTGGAGATAGCCTTTGTGAAATAAAAGTAAGTGCCTCTGGGGTTTAAAAAAAAGAGCCTAATGAAACTCATGTTGTTAGTTATTATTATTTGATTTGATACTGTTCCTGTTTTACATGATTGCGATTTTTTTCCCTTAGGAAATAAACAACGCATACATACAAGTTTTAATGAGAGACCGTAATAAAACATACATTTGCGTCTTCAATTCTCGAGAGGCTAGAGGTTCCTAAATGGGAAGGCAGGGGGTTGGGGAAGACAGGGGGTTGGGGTGGGACTGGAGCACAGCCCCCAGTTAACTGGAGGGTGTGGTGGGCCCCCAACAGGAAATGCTGAGTCATCATGTTCCTACCTTACACAAAAGAACCCAGCCAGCACTTCCTGTTGTTTTTCACATGGCTGACCTTGCCCAGCGGACAGTTCTCATGGTTCCCCACTTGCTGCTGTGCTGCCTGGTCCGCCAGCGCCCTGTTTTCACGGTTCTCGCTCCTTAAACCTTTACTTTATGTCAGTACAACAGTCATCCCATACACGCATCTCTCGTGCTCAAAACTGAATTTCACACTAAGTTTTTGTTCTATTTTTTGGTCCCACATTGAATGAGGAAATTAGGTAATAGATACAGGTAGTTAGTAAAGATGAGGGCTTAGAAGGGAAGCTCCAATCCAGGGGACCCAAGCCCATTTTTCAACTTGAATAAGGAATAATAAGGTCAAGTGCTCCCAACCTAGTAAAAATTGAAAGTTCTGAACAGCAACACAATGCTAAAGCAACTGACCGAAGCTGCTTTAGGGACGACAGGCCAGGTAACTGCAGTAACGTAGGAGACTCCACGGACCCCAACTCATCAGCAAGAGCCACCCAAGGGCTGAGACCACACTCCTTGCCCACTTTACCTATGTAAGCACTAGCTTCTTCCCTCTCAGTGGCTATACACAGGGGACTTCTCTCTGCCCAGAAAACTTTCCTGTCCTTTTTATGTCAGTAAATCTCTTGCTTTTTCTGCACAGTGCAGGTTTCCACACTGAATTCTTTCCTAGAGGCAACAGAACTGAGACCACCTCACTTAGACACCCCCCAATTCTGAGGGGGTCATTGGTTGACACTGATTCAGTGTCAACGTCCAGGTGTTGGGTTGCTGTGGACTCAGATTTGGTTTGATAAGACCACACCATGTGTGAGTTTTCAGTTAATAGGAATTTTTCCCTTCAGCGCTGGCCAAGGCCCAAATTAATCTAAAGGAAACACGGCGGTTCGACACATCTAGGATCCTCAGAGCAACCGTTATTTTATCCAATGTGACTGTAAGCCAGACGTGAGCTATCTCCAGTGCTTTCTCAATCTTCCGTCTCAGCTTTACTTTCCTTCCCCGTTTCTATCTTCTGGACTTGAATCCTTTGGTCCGGTAGAGAAACGGACCAAACAGAAGACAAGATGAAGAGGAAGTTTAATGGTGAATGACTACATTCTACTGCCCAAATCAGAAGACTATCTTAGCGCCATGTAACAGACCATGGCCCTTAGGAACTTAAAAATACCGAGTTTGCAAAATTACAGAAAAAAAGAACACATGAGATCCAAACTGTAAGCTAAATTCACGTGAAGTGGTATGTTTGACAAGAATTACAAGAGCGCCCCCTCTCGTTCTGATGTTTCACGACGTAAGAAGTTGCTCCTGCGCAGCACGCTTTGTGGTCTAGGGAGCTTCCAGGTGGGTGGAGAGGATGTTGGTGGATGAAGAGAGCATTACCCGCACAACCAGGCACCAGGGAACCTGAGATAAGCAAAATCAGAGAGAGAACTGGCAGAACTGGCCCCGGCTTAAGGAACTCCAGAAGCCTTACCCCGCAGGAGAGACCCCACCGCCCTCGCGTAGCCTGACCCTACAAAGACCCGCGCTCCCATTTTGGGGTGCGAGGAAGTACCTGTGGAGAAGTTGATAAAGCAAGTTGATGATCAATAACAGTTAAGGAGTCAGAGCATTTAGGTAGGAAGAACCAGATAGGGTATTTTAGTTTTTACTTAAAGGACCAAAGAAAACATTGGATCGACTCTTCACTAATGGGGAAGTGGCTGGGAACGTTTTTTAGGCCCCCCCCCCCCCAACAAACGTGATTCTTTCTTTAGGTTTCTAGAACCTGTTTTTGTTTTAGTTACAGCAGAGATCATCTCGTTGGGATAATCTTGAACCGAGGTCTAAGAAGGGAAATATTTAGCCAAAAAATAATAAACAACTTAATAGAAATAGAGACAGAGTTTGACGGAGGATCTCTCCCAAGGGGCGATCACACCAGGGCAGCTGATCGGCGCGGACACGCAGAGGCAGGGCAGGAAGCTGAGGAAGGGCTGCAGCCGACTCACTCAGAGCCGCGCTCACAGTCGCTGCCCTGCACCGCTCCGGGTCAACTGTGCCCCGAGGGCTGCGGAAATGAGCCTCTGACTCTGTAATGGAGCGCCAGGCTGAATTCGAGCTAACGAGAACCCCCATAGCGCAGACTTTGCTGGGTTGTCCTCTCGCAGCTTCAGACACTGTTGGTATCTGAAAGGGGAGACTCAGTTCGTTTCTGCTTCTCTGCTTGTTTGTCTTGTTTGTCTCCCTCCCCTCCTATCTCTCCTAGCTCGCTTTTTTGTTCTTCTCTCCCCTCCCCGGCTCTCTCCATCCCTTCTCCCCGCGCTACGGTTCTCCCCTCCTTCCTTCTTCCTTTTTTTTATGTTTATTTTTTTGTGTGCATACAGAACTGGGGTACAGGCCAGAGTGCTAGGGGCGGTGAGAGGATTCACCAGAGACAGAGTGGGGAGCAGAACAGGCAGATCCACGAAGTACACTGCTGAGGGGAGCAGTGGGCGGGCCAGGAGAGGTCTGCCGCGCCGCGTGTTCACCTCCGGGGCGGGACTGAACTCATGCAGAAGTGTCTTTAGCTTCTCAGTGCGGTGCTTTAACCCACTCCGCCACTGGGGAGGGCCCCCTCTTTTTTTTTTAGCTAAATTAGCGTCAGAGAAACAAGGTGCATATGAACTCTGTCTTCCTCTCTGACCGCGGTTGCGCCCTCTTTCACCATTACCATGATCGGCTGGTGCTGACTTTTTGGATTTTGTGAATTGCTACTCTCTGCACCACGGTGACTTTGTTCCTCTTTGAGATGGAAATGTTGCACCTCTCCACCGGCATCTCCTCGTGAGGAGAGTAAAATGAAGCAGGCTGAGCTTCTTCAGACATGGTGTTAGGAAAGGGTGGTAACTGTAGTGGCAGCAAACGTAACCGTGTTAAGGACTTGATGCTCGAGGGTCCTTGGTGTCTGTTGAGAAAAGAATTTCAGGAAGCCCCAGAATGAAGTCAGCTGCAACGTTGCTTGAAAGCCACAGGGCAGAGCGCAGAAAGAAGGGCGAGTCTCAGGAAGGCTGGAGAGGTTTGAAAGTTTTTTCCTTTCCTTTTTCCTTAATTATACACACCTCACTCCCATCGCTTGTCCCAGTTCTGGACAATTGGGAACTACTACTCCCTCCCTCTTTCCGTGGGGAAACTAGGTAGAGTCTTCCCAGGCCTCCCAGACCTGCCAGACCAGATCTGTCCTTGAAAGAATGCTAGAGCTGCAGGTGGATTGTGGGATCAGGGTTAATAATAATAGTAATAATATTAATAATAACAATAATAATCCACCTGGATACCATTAAGAAAAATATGAAAACGACCTCGTTTTAATAATGACAAGCAAGATGATCATTTGAAACTTTCACAAAGTTCTTTTTTTTTTCCTTTCATTTCAGGAATATAAATTGGCCCTTTTACAGTGCTATGGGAGATACCTTCATCAGTTCAGTACCAACTTTGAAGAGGAGGAAACAGATGTCAATCAATTCAAAGCTGCCTTTTTCCCAAAAGGCTTGGGAGACAAGGCTGCTATACATACAGTAAGATGAAAGACATTGCTAAAAGAGCTACAACGTGTGATTAGCTATGCAATAAGCCCTCCACTTGACAGCATCTAAATGTCTTCCGCTTGCTTCCCATAGCATGGACCTGTGTTCTCTAGTAAACGCGCTTTTTAATAAATGTTTTCAGTGCCGGATAAGAAAGTGCACTTACTAAACTTGTAAAGATATTTTGGAGATTGTGTCACTCCAATCACTCATTCATCCAGCAGAGTGTTATTATTGTGATAATTAATATCTGTAGAGGTGTTTTTTTTTTTTTTTCAGTTCACAAAGTGCTTTGGAAAGCACACTTGATCTTCACAATAACTTCGTGAGGTAGATACTGTTATTATCCCTCTTTTACAAAAGGGAAGCAGGAAGCTCATCAGGCAGTTAGCATAACTGGTGGCTCTGGAGAGCAAACACAGAACCTTCCCTACAAAAGTTGACATTTTCTATCTAGGATGCCACTTATCATTATGTTAATTGCTACAATTGTTCCACTGCCAGTGCAGACACCCCAGGCTCTGTTTCATGCAGTCTTCAAGCTGGCATCCTGCAGCCCTTCCTAAGCAGGCCAGCACAATGTCACTCTTACAGATGAGGGAGCTGAGGCTTGGCGGAGACCACCCAGCCCACTTTCCGCCCTGGGGAGCATTGGTGTTTGACCTGTAGTCTGTCTATCTCTGCAGCTATGCTATTCCAAACTTGGTGATTATTCAGAGTCTCAGAGACAGCAATGGGGCTTAATAAACTGACAATCTCAATCATGTTTGGGGGCACATTTGCCATATGTGTCTGAGTGAGACTACTGAACACTAAGTTGGTTCTCATTGGGAGAGCACTAACAGGAAAGCTTAGGGGTCTAGACTTTTAACCCCTCAGATACCATCGTGGTCAGCCCCCACTCCCTGTCCCTTGCTCCTTATTGCATCATCCTGCTTCTCCTGATCCCCTATCTTTGCATGCATCTTTGCATGCATCTTTGCATGTGTGTACTGGTGAGCTCCACCCTCAACAAAGCTTTTATGCAAGGTAACTGGGCTCGCTTCTACTTCCTTCAGATCTCCTGCATTCCTGCTTTTTATTTCTCTTTATATCACTTATTGTGACCCACTATATTCTCATTTATTCATTTTTGTTGCCTGTCTCACTTTCTTGATTGAGATCCTGCTGAGGACTGCTCTAATCTCTAACATCTCATGCCCAGAACAAGGCCTGGCAGGTAATAGTTGCTCAACAAAGACTTATTGCATGAATGAATAAATGAACTGTTGCCACCAGAATTAGTGATCTAGAAGTGGCACACAGGATTGCTTAGACTTCCAAAGACTGGGCCCTTTCTGGTGCTGCAACAGGTTAAAGCACAGCTCTATGAAGCTGTCTATAGCCATTGTAGCACAAATTCGATACCCAGCCGGGGAGGTGACCCATATGGCTTGGCAGACCTCTCCTGACCCTCCTGCTGCTCTTTTCAGCAGTGTATTTCAGTAGATCTGCCTGTTCTGCTCCCCACTCTGTCTCTGGTGCATCGTCTCAACCCCACACCCCTGGGCGGTACCCCAGTTCTGTATGCATAAGTAAATAAATCTAAAAAAAGAAAGACTGGTAGTGGCAGGTAACAGGCAAGGAAGCCTGTGCACCAGGATCATTGTGATGGGTGTGAAAAGCTGTGAAGACTCTGGCACATTGTTCTAAAAAAAATGAATGAGTATGAATGAGTATGAGAATGGATGGATTAAAACTTTAATCCAGTAGAAACTTGACAATGCAAAGGTCTTGAAAATTTTACTTAGAAGAACAGATTTGGGAAGGGAATGCATTATAATTGATGTAGTAATAATAAACTCACTGTTAAAATGTTAGTAGCAAAGTTGAGTGTCAAGACGCTCCCCATTGTGCTTCCCCATTTTGTGTAGGCTAGTGAGGTGGGTTAAGAGCTTTCCCTCTGTGGAGGATAGCAGCCATGGCTTCCTCATCTTTGCCTCTCTGGTTCTTAGCAAAGGCTGGCAATTGAGCTGCTCAATAAACATTTGCTGAAGACTCACCACAATGGTAATAATTACACCTGAAGTAATAAGTTAAAAAATGCCACTAGATGCATTTACAAATGTGTGTTCAGTTCTGTATTCTTGGCAATTCAATCATGTATTTTTTTGGAGGGCAGGCTTTTGCATTTTTTTTTCCTTAAGGAAATGTGATATTAAATAGCTGCATTGAAGAAATCTCTTTTGCTACATACTTTCTAGATGTCTTAGCCCACTAGAGCTGCTATCTAAAAATATACTCTAGTGGCTTAAAAATAAACATTTATTTCTTACAGTGCTGTAGGCTGGAAGTCCAAGATCAAGGTATTGACTGATGGTGTCTGCTTCCTGGTCCATAGATAATTATCTTCTGCCTGAGTCCTCCCATGGCGGAGGCTCTCCGGGGTCTTTTTATTTATTTATTTATTTTTAAAAAGATTTATTTCTTTGTGCATACAGAACTGGGGGACAGGCCAGAGGTGCAGGGGCAGTGAGAGGATTCACCAGAGACAGAGTGGGGGGCAGAACAGGCCAACTGACGAAGTACACTGCTGAGGGGAGCAGTGGGCGGGTCAGGAGAGGTCTGCTGCACCCCATGGGTCACCTCCTGGATAGGCGGGGATCGAACTCATGAAGAAGTGGCTTTCGCTTCTTAGTGCTGTGCTTTAACCTACTGTACCACCAGGGAGGGCCCTCTCTGGGGTCTTTTTCTAAGGACACTAAATCCCATTTATGAGGACCCCAGCCTCGTGACCTAAACACCCTATAAGGTTTCAGCCTCTGAATTTTGGGAAGGACAAAAAAATTAACCTGTTACTTTAATTAAGCAGAACCATCTCTATTTTAGTTTTTTTCTACATTAAAAAAGCTTTCCTTAGTTGCATAAACTTTATTTATTTTCTCTTGTGTTTCAGTTCCATGCTTTAAATGGCAAAAATATTTGCAAATACAAGCTGGTCTGTGACAACGACATGAACCTGCAGAATAAAGAATCTGTGGCCCAGTGTCTGCACATCCTGGCCTCCTTCAGACTCATCATGCAGGTGGCCCTGCCACAGGAGCACCTCTGCTGGATCATTTACAATGGTAACTGCCGACATCTGTTCTTGGCCACTGTGTCTTTGAGAAAGTGATCTAAATGCCAAGCTTGACTGTAACTTGATGACTGTGATTTCAAACATAGTCATTGTATAATTTAGAGTTTCTTTTTTTATCCATATTTCTACATTTTAGTTTGGACTTGTAAGCGGGAAACTACAAAGCATGTTTTTGGCTTTCTGCTCAGGGAGTCTGTGGGCACACTGAGTTTCCAGTGTATTAAGAATAGGCACCCTCGGGCTTCCCTCATGGCACAAGGGGTTAATCACAGCACTATGAAGCTATCTGTAGCCACTGCAGCATGAGTTCGATCCCTAGCCAGGGAGCTGACCCATGTGGTACAGCAGACCTCTGTCTCCCTCCCACTGCTCCCCTCAGCAGTGTATTCAGTGGATCTGCCTGTTCTGCTCCCCACTCTGTCTCTGATGAATCCTCTCACCCCATGTATCTCTGACCTATACCTAGCCCTTGTATGCATAAATAAATAAATCTTAAACAAAAATAAAGAGAGAGAGTAGTCACCACAGTTAATGTTAAGTATAAGTGGGAAGGATCTAAGAAGGCAGCAGATTTGATTGGTTCTAAGCATCAGCCATTTATTGGTCCTCACGTTGTTGCTTAGTGATTGGTTTTCATGATGTCAGCCATCTCTCCCTCTTTGTTTCTGAATGAGGAGTTCTGAGAATATGTGTGTGAATGATGTATTCATACACCCATATCCAAGTTGTATAGTCACACATATGCACAACAGGTATGTAACACGGATCTCAGCTATGTAGCAGAATGTAGCATTTGTTACTTACTATTTTAAAATTATAAATTTATAGTGTGAGTCCTCTCCTGGAGTCTCTGAACAGCATATTCTTTTTCTTTTTTCTTAAAGGTTTATTTTATTTATGCATGCATACAAGAACTGGGTGGTGTGGGGCAGGGGAGTGAGGATTCATCAGTGACAGAGTGGGGAACAGAACAGGCAGATCCGCTAAATACACTGCTGAGGGGAGCAGCAGTTGAGACAGGAGAGTTCTGCTGTGCCTTATGGGTTAGCAGCGGCTGGTGATAGCTTGAGAGTGCTGAGATTTTAACTTCTGAGCCAGCAAGGAGGCCCACAACATATTCTTGAAAGGAATATGTGTTCTCTGTGTATGAAAGAGACCAGGGCAAAATAACTTGACAGAAAACATATTAATTTTCCTATATCCATGGTAACTGAAAGTAAATTTCCTACTCTTTCCTACTCTTCCTCACCCTCCTCAAGTATTTTTTGACATTTTGGTAAAAATTAGACCTTATATGTACTGGATGAGGTTGATGCTGGGAAACATTTTTAGTCCAGTGATTCTTAAATCTTCCATGCTTGAATCTTTTCCAAGAGGATCTCCCATTTCCCTAAGAGCAGTAGCCACGGCCAAGTCTGGAAGTTGCTCACACATCTCAGTGGGGTGAAGCAGGGGCTGAGGTTCTGTGTTCAAGAGGGACAGATGGGCCCCACGGATAGGCTTTGCTTGTATGATAGAAATGATGCAACATGACTCCCTATCTGCAGTCATTTCAAGATTATACACAAGGCCCGCCCTGGTGGTGCAGGGGCTTAAAGCACAGCACTAGAAGCTAAAGCCACGCCAGCATGAGTTCCATCCCCGCCCCAGAGGTGACCCCCATGGCGCGGCAGACCTCTCCTGACACACCCGCTGCTCCCCTCAGCAGTGTACTTCGTCAATCTACCTGTTCTGCCCCCACTCTGTCTCTGGTGAAGCCTCTCACCACCCCTGCACCTCAGGCCTGTACCCCAGTTCTGTATGCATAAATAAACAAATCTTAAAAAAAAAAAGATTACACAAAAAACCTCTAATACACGTGATCACCAACTTGTTGAAAGCTACTCTTGTGCCACTCTGCTGTTATGAAAGACCTAACTTAGTACCTGTTTCTGCAGCCATACCTGATGGCAATAAGAAATCTGAACATTTTTGCTTTTCTGACGAATGGTGAAAAGCGAAAATATTGTTCAGCATCGGCCTTGCGGCAGCCCAGACACACACAGCCGCACCCAAGCCAGCTCCCTGCCCAGGACCGCCGTGTGCGGCTGCGCAGTCCTCACGCGGCTGTTGGCATTTGCTGTGTTACGCTATTTAGGTTTTACGGGCCGCTGGGTGTGATTGGGCAGGTTATTTTTTGGGTCTGGGAATGATCAAAATATTTTCCACCTCCATGAATGGGATCATTGCTTTTTCACTTTATGCTATTGCAGCTTAGGAAAGTTTTCATAAGAACTCTGTATTCTGGGGTTGTGGGGGAAGTTTGTGTCCTTTAAAAAGAAAGAAAAATGAAAGAGGATCTTTATTTTTACATCCTTTTCTCGGTGTGTGCTTTTTCTTAATACACTTGGTATTATGCTCTAGATTTTATTGTTTCCTGAATATTTTTTCGGCTCAATATTATGACTTTCAAAATTATGTGGGGTCCTGGAGTTGTAAATCTAGTTCATTAACTCTTCCTGTTGATTTGTCGCCGAGGTATTCATGCCTCCTTGGGGATGAGCGCTTGCTTGCCACACCTGCCTAATTGTGCAAATAATGAATACCCTCACTATATCCTTTTCTAGGCTTTGAGAGAGTTTCTGGGATCTATGCCCAGGAATGGATTGCTGGCTTCTGAAAATATACATCCTTAGTTTCAATAGCTACAGCCCCTGCTTTAATTAATTTAGCTAAACCTTCTTGAGTACCAGACATTGTTTCTAGGTGCCCAGGACACAGGAGTGGGCAGCAGACAAAGAGCATGTTCTCATGGTTACATTCTGTTACAGGGAGGTGATGAATTAAAATTAAATGGTATGAGTGCTCTGGAGAAAAATAAGGTGAGAAGGGCTTTGGGAGAGCAGCCACTCAGCTGTGGCTGGGCTGAATTTTCAACAGAATATTTGGGAAAGGCTAATTGAGAGAGCATCTGAGCAAAGAACTGAAAGAGACTGGGAAGAGAACCATCTGGGCATTAGGGGAAAGGCCTTTCAGCTGGAGGATTATTAGCCAGAGAAAAGACCATGTCGCTTTGAAACTTTAGCATTTAAGCAATCGATAATAAATTATTCTACTGTCATTTTACCTAACATACACTTGACCTTTTCAGTCAGATATTAACACTTACTCTATTACTTTCAATTGATTATAAAACGTCAACACCCTTGGTTTCTTAAGGGAATTAACCTCTCTTGGTTCTTCCATAGTGTCTAACTGGGTATTTAAATATTGGATAACACCCTCCTCAGCTAACCTGACCCCAACTAATTTCAGCCCTAATGTAGGTGAAACTGTTGAGTGATGGCCCTCTTTGCTGGAGCGCTTATTGACTAGTCAATAAACTCATGTTAGGGATTTGATTAAAATTCAGAAAGACAGGACGAGCTCCCTGAGGTGGTAAAGGTCCATCTGGTTCCTGTTCATACTCACTGCCCTCTCTGCCAGGCTTTTGCAGAGGGAATTTGTGAGCCAGGCCAAGATCCTGAGCCATCAAAGAAGGGATCACTTACAGTCAAGAGGTATGAAGTCCTCAAAGGTCACAGGCACATTTATGAACTACAAAGGCCACTCGTCATTCTCGGGCTGTCTCATGAGCTTCTCAGAGTTACTGGTTCTGCCGCTGCGGCGCACAGGCCCCTGGCTGACACCTCAGTCACATGTATTGCGGCTGGGCACATCCTTCTGTTTTCTGTGCAGCCCTTATTCACTGACTTTTAATTTTTTTTTTTTAAACAAAGAAGCACAGTTGTCCAATTCAGTTTTAAAGATGAAGAGCAGAGTTCAACAAAACCCAGTTGAGATAAGTAGGCTGGACTTAAGCAGTTACTAGCCAAGTGGGTCTTTCCTGGGGTCTTGGGTGAAATGGACACAAACTTCATGACACAGTCACACTGTGACCGCTGGTCCTCAGCGTTCGGGACCAGTGATTGTCTATGAAGTCGCCTATGCTCTAAGGGTTCAAGGTTCCATTTGATCTTTTTGTGTCACCCATTTATGTAATTAATGTTTATGCTGACGGATGTGAATAAATAAGGTGATGTGTGTCTTGCAGTAGAGGCTATTTTCTCAGTAGCTTTCAAAGTTTAAACAGGAACAAGGGATGATAATTGCTGAATTTTGAAGGTTATGATTTTTAGATCAGCTATGTTATAGAAAATATTTAGACTCTTGTCATTATAATCACATGCCTTTAAAAACATGCTGCTGTCAGGGTTTTTTACACGGCATGGTAATGTCCCCAGTATATAGTGGATGTGTGGTGAGGCTGTTTGCTGTCCCTTCCTGCAAACTTGCCATCTGCCTTTTGTCCCCATTTAATTAATGACCTGACCAAAAAACCATTCTTATTGTTCTTAAGCAGGGTTTGGAAATGTTTTTCATGAGGGTGCTCATAGGACATACTTAATAATGTGATAAATATTATATGAGAAAGCAAATGACTACGATGCAAGCCATTTTATTTTACATTATGATTTTAAAATTATCATGAGTTTCTTTGTTGAATATTGCACCAGGCTGATTAAATATGTATTTGAATCTTATTTGGAGATAAATCTTTAGATTTTCAGCTATAAGGGAATCATGGGAACTAACAAAATTATATATGCATTAATAAAAGCAGAGAGTATATAAATTAGGCTATTAATATTCTTTTGTTCAATATATTTCAAAAACTTAAACTGTCTTTAAAATAACACAGAAAGATTCCTGTGTCAACATATAAAAATATGATAAGTTCTTTTAATATTTTGGCTATAGATTGACCCCCCCAAATTATGATGGATGTAACTTCTATCAGGTTTTTCTAAACTCCCCTTGCCTCTATCAGGCTTGATATTACAGGTCCCACAGGTTGGAACCTATAGACTTTAACTGAAGAAATCAGAATATAAAAATTTCCATCATTTGATTGTAAAACATAATAACAATTGTTTTTCTCCATCTAGGTACCATTTACATTTACACCATTTGCAGAAAACTGATGGTCATAGGCCAGGCTTCCAAGGTATGAAATGTACTGATCAAACATCTTCCCTGTGTTTCCTGTTTTTCTTAAGGCTTTTATTAGCATTGAATGAATGCTAAACAGAGAAAATTCAGTGAATTACAGCAAAACAGTGAATTGTTTTACTGTTTGTAGTTTTACTTTAAAATGTTCATATGGGAAAATGCAGACAATAAAGATCAAACAATGAGATAGTTGGGGCACCCGCTCCCCCATTGGAAACTCTGAGTGTAACTTTTAAGTCCCCCACAATGTTATTAATAGGCGGTTGTTGACGGGAAGCCTCACCAATAACATAAGCAGTAGATGAACACATATTTTGTGGGTTATATATATTCTATGCTGCATTTTTACATGCACAAGCTGCAGAGAAGAAAATGTTATCAAGAACATCATGGGAGAAAATACGTCTGTAGCTCTGTGCTGTATTTATCAATACCACAAGTCTGTGTTTTCCATTGACAAGAAAACCCATCAACAGAGAGAGAGAGGACCTGTAGTTCACACCCAGGCTGTGGTAGAAAAGAAAGAGAACTCTCAGACTGGACAGGTGTTCTCCAGAGTACCTGGTCTCTCAGATTTATCCCAACTCATCAGTTTATTGCTGAACATGCACCTGGTCTCTCCATCTCGAGGTAGGATGACTGTCCACCCTGGCTTAGGTATGACAGTCCTGGGTTGTGCTTTGTGTTCTAGAATCATCTTGAATAGTTCCTGCTTTCACTCTTCAGAGTGTCCTGGTTTGAATGACAGTCTCTCTTACCTAACTTAAGTCCTGCCAAGGAACTTGTGCTTCAATTTGCTTGAAGAGCATGGGTGGTTTCTTCTGGCTCCCCACTAGCTGGGTGGAGCTCTGTCTCAGTCATGAACTGAGGAGCAGAGGACTCGATTTGAAGCTCAGTGTTCCACTGGCCATTCAGTAGAATGCAGGCCACCAATGGCCATTCAGTAGAATGCAGGCCACCAATGATGTTTATCTACCCATGGACACAGCTTTAGCTTCTGCTGGCACCTGAGACATTGTGACTTACTCTTTCTTCTCACAGACAGAAGCTTACCTTGAATATTTTAACACTCAAGACAGGTACTTTTTTTTTTTTTAAGTCTTATTTCCTCACACTTAACCAGGCATCTAAAAAGCTGACAAGCTATAAACAGTGAAAATGGGAGCAAAGATATTTGCATGCTCCATGGGCAACATTAATTATGTTCTTTCTCTGTGTGGTTCCTCAACTTCACAACCTTGAGTACTGTCAGTGCCTCAAACAGGCTCTGTGCCAGATTTTGGAGTGTGAATTAAAATGAGGGGAGGCTGTCTAATTGAGAATGTAAATTTAAATTTGGCTGCAGATTCCCCTATAGCTCTATATAACTCTTCAGTTCAAGATGATTTCTAAACAGAAGTTACATGTTCCTGTCGCACTTGCTGGAGCCACAAACTGTTTCACAGAACCATCATGATTTGTTCTGCTTGCATCTTGCATGCACAAGCCTCAAAATTTCAAAGAGAAGGATACCTATACCAACAGTTAATTGTTACTGTTCATACTTGTTAATGCCGTGAAAATTTTAATTTAATGTGGTAGTCATCCTAAAATGGCATATTTATGCCCTTTGTCAGACATGAATTCTCCCCCACATGGAACTTGTGTTTCTCTTTGACAATAGAGGGGGTGGGGAGGATGAAGGTGGTATTAAGTCCCAGTGATATGGGATAGAATGAGGAGTGTGAGGGATGCTGGATTTGTGGGGTGGCGAGTGGCTATATAGCTGGCACTTGATGATCAGGATGAAATTATTTCAGTTTGTTCAATATAGTAAGTTTCAAAGAAATCACTAATTTTACCCAGAAAAATGCCAAACCCTTGACTGATGAATTGATCTGGATTTGAGGCTAAGTGATCTCTCCTGGGCCACTTAATGAGGACAAGCCCTTGGAGGGTCAGCATGTCTTAAGTCCTCTTGGGTCCCAGGGATCCTGATCCTGAATTACATTAGCATTCGAGTCTGTTGGCGGTAAGGCAAATGATGGAACAGATGTGGAATCTTTGCACTCTTGGGGGTGTCACCCCCAAGTCAAGCAAACTATCGCTCCCACGAGTTATTGCCTACTGCGTTAGGACTGTGTGAAGGGCTTTGCATACAGAATAATACTCCTGATTGTCTTGGGAAATGGCTGCCATCATCATCCTCATCACTTGCTGAATGAATGTCCTCTATGTATCAATTACACATCCAGGCATTTGCATATATTATCTCATTTAAGGCCTTCGTCTCACAGGTCAGGAAACTGAGGCTCAGCAGGATAAATTTGCCCAAACTCATACATTGAGTTAGAGATGTAGCTGGACTCAGAGCCAAGACTATGTGGGACATGTCAAACTATTGTATGACATGACTATTCCTAAAGACATGAAACTGGCCAGGGGCCCTTCCCCACAGGCCAAACCCTTATTTACAAGCTGAGTCAGGTCACCCATATACAGACAGACTTATGAAACCTGTTTCCCTAAACAAATGACTACCCTATGTTCATTTATGGTATCACGTGAGTTCCTTCTGAGGCATTTGCAACTGTAGGGTTAAAGAGCACAGTAGAATCTGTTCATTCTGAGAAACCATTGATGTCTGTTTCATTTAATGGTAAAAATGAAATAGTTTGGCAGTTTGTGGGGTGAATATTTATTATTCTGTCATTCCACCTGCCATTCCATAACTGCTTATCCAAATGGTGGCCTGTTTCGCCAGGGCTCTTGAGCTGATATAAATGATGCTACAGTGCCATCTGGTGGCTGATTAATGGTTGGTGCATGGTTTTCCCACTTAAGTCTGGAACCATAATCCTGTTGGGTTCCCATTTTGGATGTGGATGTCATTTGTTTTTTCAAGAATTTTCTCTTTTTCTACGAAGGGGAACATATCTGCTGAAATCCATAGTTTTTTTTTATTAATTGAAATGATTCATCTTAAGAGGCCAGGAAAAATACAACAAATTGAGATTTAAAAAAAAAATTCTTTTCATCTCTAAATCTGAATGATGGTTTTTCACAACCGTAACTGGAGTGATGGTTTTCCAGAATTCCTGTGCTAAGGTTGGCTTGTGTCCCTGCACCATGAAGAGCACGCTGCACTTGGGAATGAGGAGCTGAATGCCAACTCTGCCTTCCTTCCAAGAAGCAGTTTAGCTTTTTGGCTTCGGATTAGATTCTATTAAGGTCCCTTCTGGCACTAAAATCTATGATTCCATGTCTCTTATTTTTAGTTGAAAGCAGAACCCAAATAACTGTGAGAAATTGGTAACTGAAGCTATTTTTATTTTGAAGTATGACATTTCTAATTCCGGAAATCCTGAAGCCTTTTTGAAAGGATGTGAATTGAAAGGAGAAAAATTTATGCATGACTTAATCTCATACCCTCCAAACTACAGCAATCAAAAGGCAAACATCCATCATAAGATTTTTTTGTACAGCAATGGTGAGAAACTCAGTTTTGATGACAGTTCATTTCATCTCAGCTCACTGCCTGGCAAGGTCAGCAGAAACCACCACCACCACCACCAAAGCTCATCCCAGCAAGCTAGCTACACCAACTCAGTAGAGACGCTGTTTCCAGAAACAGGGTGGGAGTTTCGCTTTACTGTGGTCTAGTCATACAGTCAAAGAGGTCATAGAAACGGGGAGCAAAGTCATAGAAGACAGAGCATGATAGAGAAGGGAAGGTCTAGGAGTGCTCAGAGACTGTTATTGCTTCAGGGAGAGCAGAGGGAAGAGTGTAGGCTGCATAGGTGCTTCCAGATTCTTCTGAGCCTGTAATTTGGAAGAGAGCTCTGGATGGTTCCAGAAGGCATAACTAAGAGTGCACTGGAGGTATGTCAAGGAAGATTTCATTTCAAACCTAGGAAGCATTATTTGTATTAAGACTTCTCTCCTGTCATGTCATGTGTTTCTTGTTACTGGAGGCGGAACTTCTGGGGAAGGTGTGGGATAATAGATGGTGGGGCTGATACTGTTCATGGGGAAGAGAATAGACTGCCTTCTAGTCCTTTGATCCAATGATTACTTGAAATGGTACCATACTTAGCCCCATGAACTGGAACTTTCCATGAGGTTCACTCAGTCAGTCAACAAATGTTTATTGCATCTCAACTAAATACTAGATAGAATTTAAGGCCTGGGGATACATGTTGAGGCTTGTATTCTGTGATATAGGCAATGGGAGCCATTGAAGTATTTTATGCACAAGAGTGATATGTGTGCTTAAATTTACATTTGCAATTGAATACTCGGTAGTAGTAAGGTGAATGTACAAGGAAGAGCGAGCAAATAGAAGGAGGGAGCTGTACAGCAAAGACAGGAGACAGGTGAGGACGCAGTCCAGGGGAGATATGTGAAGACCTGCTTCGGTATGGCTGGCATTTAATGAATAGAATTTTGAATTTGATATTCTGAGAGATTGAACTCACAGATTCTTATTTTCATCTATTAGTATTTCTTCTATTAATATGTGGCACAGAGACTAGATTTCTTCTTATATTAAATCAAATGAAAGGCAATCCAATCCAATTACTCTTTGAATTCTTGGGATTTTTGGAAAAAAAAAAAGGCAAAAAACCTCACAACAGTTAACGGCCAGACATGTATAGTTGGTGTTTCCTTGCACAGGTAACTCTCCCTCATTTTTAAAAGTTCACATTATGTCACTTGGATGGACCTTAACACCTGTTTGGCTACCTGCAGCAGTCCGAAAAGGTGATTTATGATAAAAGGCAGAGTGAAAATAGCTCTGGCATCTGTTTTACGGAAGACATTCTAGAGCAGCAGGGATTTGAGCAGGGAGAGTAGCACCCCAAACTCTTTCCTGGGCGACACTTTATATAGGCTAATATGTGTTATTACGTCAGTCTCATGTTTACTACATATGTTCTATGTATTATTTGCTGTGGTTTTGCATGTTACTTTTTGGTTTCTATTTTCATTGTTTAAAATTTCTACAATTATTTTTCCATATTAATTAGTGGAGTAATTGTGCCTTTGCTTCATGCCATTTCAGCTTAGGAAAAGTTTCATAGAAATACTTTACTTTCTCATAACAGGTGAAACCCATATGGGTTTTGTGAGAAGAGCATGTCATAAAGGAATTATCCAGAGGTGTGAGAAGTGACAGATACAAGGTTCTTACATAGAGCTTCCTACAAACAGGCCAATGGCCATGGGAATCCTTTTCCCTGCCATTTTGTTTCAAAATGTACCTTGGGGCTCCTTATACTGGGAAGGGGCATACCTATTTCACTTTTTAAGTCCTTATTTTTTTCTTGATTTATTATTGACTGTGTTTTTGGCTTGTCAGCAACTAGTGCTCACAACTTTTTATTTAGATTTATTTATTTATGCATATCAGAGCTGGAGTATAGGCCAGAGGTGCAGGGTGTGTGTGTGTGTTTGAGAGACAGAGACAGACAGACAGACACACACACACACACACACACACAGAACTCACCAGAGACAGAGTGGGGAACAGAACAGACAAATCTACTGAAATACACTGCTGAGGGGAGAAGTGGGTGGGTCAGGAGAGGTCTGCTGTGCCACGTGAGTCAGCTCCCTGACCTGGATTGAACTCATGCTGCAGTAGCTGCAGGTAGCTTCATAGTGCTGAGACTTAGCTCCTTGTGGCACCAGGGAGGCCCCAGTGTTCACAACTTATAATTTGTCAATGTTAAATAAAATTATGTCTCTTAACTGAAAGTGAAAGTAAATGTGATTCTGCCCTTTCTTCCTTAGGCCGTAGAATTTCTTCTGTGGGCCAGTGCTTGTATGGAATCGTCTGTTCCACTTTTGTCCATCAGATACTTGACATGGAGAGCTACTCTTTACACTGCTGTCTGCCAGTGCTACTATGACTGCCAAGCTGGTGTTTATGGAGAAGTATGCTATGTTTTAATTCTGAGGATTTCAGTGTTTTAAAATACAACATACTCAGCATTGTCTTCTTTAGGGGCCTGGCAAGAAAACCAGTCACCCCCCCCCACACACACCCCCACCTGCACAACCAACCCAAGGGATTACAATGAAGCAAAGACTAAAGTCCTAGGATTTATCTGTAGAAGTGTGCTGGCTTCACTGCTCTGTTTGCTCACTTGCTGGAAATTCTACTCTCTCTTGTGCTCTATTCATTTATATCTACTTCACTCCTTTTCTGGGTAAGATTTCTGGTATCTCTCCTTCCTTTTTTTGTTAGTTGATGCAAACCATGTTCCTTCCTTGTTTATTTCTGTAGCCCATACCACTGTCTTGTCGTGCTTTTTCTGCCCCCACCTGCCATTTACTTAATTTATTTACTTTTATTTATTGTTTTTGAATACTTGACTTAACTCATTGGGTATTTATTTGGTTTCTACAATAGCTTTGTGTAAATGAAAAAAGCCATCCTCTCCACAGGACATGGTACTTCACTTGTTAGTAGATGGGACTTTGGGGAGAATTAAAACTAGGTGCCCCCTTCCTTTGGGCCAATACGTTCTGGCATGAGGGTGGAAGCCCTGGTGAGTAGCATGTGGGCTGGGTTTCAGCCCTCATTCAACCCCCTGGCTAGAGTCTCATGCAGGCCAGAGCTTTCATAGCTATGTAAATCACTGTTTATGTCTTGTTTGCAGCTATCATTAAATCTTCTTAGTATTTAATGAATGCTTTAATGTAGTTTTTCCTGCCTGAACCAGTTCTCATGGGCTGGATGATTGTGGCCTGTAGGCAAGACAATAGCCTAGTATGGGATCCTGGGAGTCTGCGATCATGGCATCCTTTCTTTAGTTAGAATACCTTCTAGAAACTGCACTATGTATATACAGTTAATGTTAATATACTAGTGGTGGCCTATTAATGTTATGAAGAAATGTAATGTTAACATAGTCTTCACCATTGGATTCCTATTGGAATTGTTTCTTATTGGCACAGGTCATGCCATTTGTGTTATTATTGTGGTCTAGAAGATTTTTCATGAAAAATTCTAAATGATAAGTGAAATATTTCAAAGAACTGATAAAATAAATGAAATTAGTTGAACTCTTTTCATTATCTCCAGAGAACTATCATGATAATAACGGTGATCTGGTGAAATAAGCAATCCTGTCTTCTTTCTTTCTTTCCTCAGATATTAATAAATACTACCTATATACTAAGTATTGAGATGCAAACATTAATAAGAACCTGTAGGGACCTCACAACTTAGTGGATAATGTGAATAGTTGAGTAGCCAATGAGCGTTTTGGTAGAAAGTATGGGATTGGAGAAGACACCTGAGGAAATGTGTGTGAGTGTGTGTGAGTGTGTGTGAGTGTGTGTGAGTGTGTGTGAGTGTGTGTGAGTGTGTGTGAGTGTGGTGTGCCAGAGAGGGGATCATTTACATGAAGCTACTGTTCAACCCAGAATAAAACTTGCCTTACTTTTAACACTTCCTAATTCATAGCACATCTGACAGCTTATTAATTTTAGATCTACAGAATTTAATGATACTTATAGGAAATGATAAATGGCATAGCTTATGTGTTATAAGGAGACAATATCAGCCTACAGTTTATTTCACCAATTAAATCAAATGTCTGTGAGAATAAAACATACTGTCTTAATACATTTTTAATCACTATCTTCTTACTTATTATGGTTTAAATTTATTTTGATCTCATATAGGCATTTGCTCGGCGTGCTTTAGCTAAAATTGATGAGTTAAGGCAATTGGAATTAATGAGCTCTTCACAGTCACACGAAGACACCAGAAGCTATTATAGGGAGGCTACGATAAAGGTATAAAAATTTCATAAAATGACAGAAAATGACTGTATTCTACAGTTGATTAAGTACTTCATGTTAGTACTTGATCAGTCCACATTGTTGTCATTTCACATATAATTTTTCTTTTTTTTTTTTTTGAGGCAGATGGCAGTGATGATCTTCAAAAGAGGAGTATTTGAGTCTAGAAGAAGAAACAAAACTTTCTTTAGACCAAAGATAAGAGTCAACATAAGGGAAGCACAAGCTGTAAGTCTTAAGATTGCCTTTTTGATTCACTCAACTCATCTTTGGCACTCTGTTTGTCTTATGCCTCTTCACCTATTAAGACTTGTTGCTAAGTATTAATACTTGTAGCAACAGCAGATCAGAGCAGAGTGACTGGGAATTCACTAGCACTGGCTATGTCTTGCTAATTAATATACAACTGGTCAAGTCTTCTTTAGAACAATGATCCCAGTTAGTTAGTTATACTACAAAATATTGCTTCAAATTTGGGTTTCAGGACTTTCTGTGCTAGAATCTCCTGTAGTGCTTATTAAAAATTACCTCACCCAGATGCACTGAGTCTCTGGAGATTTGGTCTGTGAATCTTAAAAATACGCTGGGAGATTCTTAGGCAACCGAAGTTTGAATACCAGTCCCTTAAGACTGTAATTAAGGTCCTGCAAAGCATATGGATGATGCAGGTCTAATAAAACTATAGTAATAACCACCCTCATGGTAACCATAAAGCAAAACCACGTATAGAAGCACAATGGAGAAGAAATGAAGAAACTGAGAGAATCATGACAGAAAGTCACCCACATGGAAAGGGAGCTAGAAATACATGGAAAAAGAAACAATATAAAGATTGAACAAGCAAAAAACAGAAAAAATGGCATTAAATAAGCCGCATATATCACCTAAAACAAATGATTTTAACTCATTAATTAAAAGACTCAATCTGTTGGATGAAAAGGCATGACTCAGAAATACTGTGAATATAAGAATCCCACTGCAGATCTAAATACAAACATAGACTCAAAGTGAAAGATTGGAGCTAAGTATTTCAAGTTAATAGCACCTGAGAAAAAAAGCAGAAACTGCTTTTCTCATACCTGATAAATAAGACTTTCAGCCAAAAGAGCTAATTAGGGATAAAGATGGGCATTATATAATGATCCAGGGGATAATTCACCAAGAAGATATAATTGCCATTAATATTTATGTACCCAAAACAAGTGCACTGAAACATATAAAGAAGCTATTAAAAGAACTAAAGAAACACTTTGACAATAGTACAAATTTAACAGGAGATCTCAATATGCCACTGACTGCAAGAGAGAGATCATCCAGACATAACATAAACAGACATAAGTAGATGCCTCAAATGAAACTATGACTAGATGGAATTAATGCATCTCCAGAGCCTTCCAACCCCAAAGAAATTAATATGTATTCTTGTCAAGTGCACATGGAGCCTTCTCAAGGTTAGATCAAATGCTGGCACATTATACCTGTCTCAAAAACTTATCAAATTGAATTTGTATCAGTTTTCTGTCTGTAGTGCTAGAAAGCTAGAAATCAACCCCAACAAGAGTCCTGCAGAAGCCAAACAAGTGGAAATTAAAGCAAGATTGTCCACTGTCACCATCAGGTTCCTTTGAAAGTGGAACTTCTAGATCCATGCTGCAGTGCGAGGCTCTGAGGAACTGGCAGGGTGAGAAGCTGTACTCCCCAAATTACTACAGTTAGATAGTCCAATGGCAAATCAATAAAACATGAAACAAAAAAGTCAGTAATAAGCAGCCTTTTAATGCTGCCTTGGAAATACAAACATAAAGAAATAGCACAGGATGACTAGAACTTGAATGGAGTCGAGAATGCCGCAACAACAACAACAAAAAAATGAAAACTATAGCAAATCTCCTTGATAAGCCAAAAACAGTCTCCTGCAGGATTAATTAAGCATGCCCTTACTTATCTTTGCCTTGTATCAAAAAAATTTTTTTTTGAAAGATTTATTTATTTATACATACAGAACTGGGGTACAGGCCAGAGGTGCAGGAGCGGCGAGAGGATTCACCAGAGACAGAGCGGGGAGCAGAACAGGCAGATCGACGAAGTACACTGCTGAGGGGAGCAGTGGGTGGGCCAGGAGATGGAACTCAGGCGGGGATGGAACTCATGCTGCAGTGGCTTTAGCTTCTTCGTGCTGTGCTTCAACCCTCTGCGCCACCAGGGAGGGCTCACTGTATAGAACTTTTAAACAATGGACTGTATATATAATTTTTTATTCCAGTTGCCGTGGCCACGGACTGTCACAGAAAAGTTGTTGGATGAGATGTTTGACAGCACTGCTTCCCGGTTTCTGGCTATCTTAGAAGCTCTTTCTGACTCAAACAGGCGGACATTACAAGTTGGACCTGTTTTTACAGATGAAGTAGAAGTTCGCGATGTTGTGTCAGAACTGTTTGTGGCAGGAAAAGACCTCTTCATAAGTAAATATGTTATTGAGACAATATGTTACTATAGAACATGAAAACACTTCAACTGATCCTGTTTTTACTCACCTTGAGACCAGCAATCTTGATAAAGTCACTTGATAATTCATATAATTAAAAAAAAAGATTTGCTTATTTATGCATACAAGAACTGGGGTACAGGCCTGAGGTGCAGGAGGTGAGAGGATCCACCAGAGACAGAGTGGGGAGGAGAACAAGCAGATCGACTGAAGTACACTGCTGAGAGGAGCAGCGGGCAGGTCAGGAAAGGTCTGCTGCGCCATGTGGGTCACCTCCCTGGTCAGGGAGCAAATTCGTGTTGCAGCGGCTGTGGATAGTTTCATAGTGCTGCGCTTTAAGCCCTTGCGCTTCCAGGGTGGCTCCATATAATTTATTGACTGGATCTTTATTTCAGATTTAAAAACAAAATGTATATTGTCATTTTATATGTGAATGATGACAATTTTCTTCTTTCATTTCAATTCTTAATCCTTATATTTCTTTTTTTTTCTTGACCTGTTGCACAAGATAAACTCTCTAATGAAACATGAAGTGGTGATGGCAGACACTTTCGGTCCATTTATTACCTCAAAGGGAAAGCTTTATATATCACAACATTAATTTTGGGATTTTCTTAAGAACATTTTAAGATACCCCTTTTCAGATTAAAGAAGTTTCTTTTTTTCTTGGTTTGCCAAGAAGTTTTTGTTGTATTTTTTCTTTTTAATTGAAGTAACATTGGGTTAATGTAGGTCTAGGTGATTAGCATTATTAATCAATCTGTGAGTACATTGTTTGCTGCCAAAAATCTAGTTTCTGTCCTTCACCAAACTGACTTCTTTTACCTGAATTATCTAGTTCCCTTTCTACTTTGCTTCTGATAACCACTATTTTGTTCTTATAGTATAAGAGTTTTGTTTTGTTCAATTGTTTTATTTCTCCACAAACCATCATACAGTGCTTGTCTTTGCCTTTTCACTTAGAATTACACCCCAGATTCAAGTGCCAGGGTTTCATTTTTTTTTTTTAATATAACTGAGTAGTATTCCACTGTGTGCCTATTACCACATCAAAATGAGAAGGCAACCTCCTCAAAGGAAGAGGATGTAGCAAATCATACATCTGACACCCAGAAGATAACAAGAATTTATTGAGTACATGTATTGCAAATATCTTTTCCCAGTTGGTAACTTCCTTTCTTATAATTATAACTGTATAACTGCGAAGGAATCAAATTCTGAATTTTAATGAAGTCCAATTTATCCATATAGATGCATAGTTATTTCTTAAAATTATTAGAGGGTCCTAACCTCCACATCTAATTATTTTCATCTCTTTATTCCTCTCGATTGCTGTCTCCTCAATCTGAATTTTCAGGTCAATAACTTATTGATTCTCATTGTTCTGTTCCATCCATTTAGTGAACTCTTTTTTTTTTTTTCAGCAGTAATGCACTTTATAGCTAGTCTTCATTTAGTTCTTTATCACAACAGTTTATTCTCGTTCCTGTTTCCTTGAGATAGCACGAGTCCTTGTTCACTCTATGCCATGTCTCTGCTTCCTGTATAAAGGAGATTTCATTTGTGGTCCTTGTCTGAAGGTGTATATACTTTCAATTTTCTTTCCTCATGAGCTTCCCTTCTGCTGCCTGAAAACAATTGACTTGACTACATATTCTCCTGGAAGGAAGGTTGAAAGCTAAACCTCAGTTTATAAACTTTTAAGTGAGCCTAGGTGTGTGTGTGTTTACGCACACACAGGTGTATCGTGTGCATGCATATGTGTTCACCATCAGGGCTATACGTTAGGTGCACATGTGTTGGTATATGACATGTGCACATATTAATGCACAAGTGTGTACACACATGTTTGTCTGCACGTGTATGTATGTGTGCAGACACACACTTGTGATCCTGTGATAACAGGGAGTCTATTTCACGATTTGGGCTCATCTCTTCATCACAAGGATAAGGCAAGTTCTCGGATGAGAATTTCCTTGATGTCCTTCATCTGAACCTGAAGATTTCCCGCCTGCTCTCATCCTTTGCGCTGACTCCTGTTAAGGTGGACAGGATGCACCTTTTCTTCCTCTTTAGGTCTGTAGACACAACCCCTCTGTCTTTTTATCCTGTGCACACATTCTTGTTCAGCTTCCCCCTTGTATTCCTGTATCTCTGTTATAGTTCGTGTCACGGTTCCAAATTCTTTCCTTTCCATGTCTTCCTAGGCAGTCTTCTGTCCCTCTCACCCTGCTGAAAATACTCCGGGAAAGCTCTTTCAACCAGGAGAGGGGTCACTTCATCCGTGCTGCTCTTGCCCTGCTGTGACTGCTGTGGCTGCTCCTGTCTCTCTAAGCACCTTGGCAGCCTTCCCCACTTCTTGCACATTTTGATGTCCCTGACTGCGCTGGTCAAGGCAGCTGGACATTGCTCACGACAAGCCCATCCTTTGCTATGGATTATGATGATTCTATGCACGACATCCTCATTTTAGATGTCTTAAACTTTCAGTCTATAATACCGAACTGACTAGTTTTTTTTTTTTGCTAATTTTCTATATTTGTTCTTCTATGTTTCTTCGCCTGGTTACCCTCCTGCAAGCCTGGGTCTGATGTCCTTTCCATTTGTCCCCACAGAAACTTGTATTTCCCACAGAGATTTCTGGTCCCCCCCACTAGAATGTAAGTGCTATGAAGGCAGGGGTAGTGTTTCTTTCTCCCTGTTTTCCTAGTGTATCACAATACCTGATAGATAAAATTTAGCAAATATATCTTTGCATGAATGATATCAACCTCTCTCTTTCTTTTTCTAGCGTCAACTACTAGTACAAATGGATTATTTCATTTTCCAGACACATCTCTTCTGCAACTTATTATAAAAGGGGAGAATGTAATTTCTATGGATGCTGCTGTGAGATTTGTAAAATTAGCTTTTACCCATGAGGAATGGGGTTTATTTGAATCTTCAGCTGTGCATCTTCTTGAATTGCTCCAGGTAACATGGGCAAAACCATTCACTTGCTCTTATTTTGTGTACCTGACACAGAGTTATTAACTTCTGGGCTGTGCTTCTCTTAGAGGCAGAATGATCCAGAGTCAAAGAAAGCAGGAAAGGATTTAATTCTTCTTCTTGCAATAGAACCTCTAATCAACTTAAAGAGAAACAAGGGTTTGATCTTTCCTTTGGAAAACTACAAAGAAGGACAGTCTGTTCAAGATTATCTTAAAAATTTTGTGTCCCCTAGTGAGTATGTGTTTCTTGAAAAATTAATTTTGTTTTTTTTATATTGATACCACTGTATAGTGAGTCGAGAAAGATAAAGTTCTAGGCAGAAGGAGCAGGGTGTGCAAAGGTCATAGATGGAAGTGTGGTTGGTATTTGAAAGAAAGGCAAGAAAGCTCACCTGGCTGTAGTGCTGGATGGTGGAGGTGGAATTTGAAAATGTGGTAGAGATGAGGTCACATCCTGCTGGCTCCCAGGCTTTGTAGGAAAAAGGGATTTTATTGCAAGGGATGATTTTGACTAGAAGAGTGAGTCTTGTAGAGCGGCGACCTTCTGGGCAAGTGAGAGGCCAGCAGGTGGCTAGTCAAAAGCCACTGGGGGGTGAGGGTTCTCTGTTTCTAGTATGCAGTTTTCCATTCTAGAACATTTTCAGTTCTAAAAGTTATTGTGTATATAGTTGAAAATCTGCAACCTCTGTTTTTTAAAACAATGAGAATTATTTAATCCCATGTTTTAAAAATAGTTTTATGGTATTCTTAGGCATGGCACGAATACTCAATTGCAGAGAACTATTTGCACCAAGTAACGATACACTTGTTAATTTTAATTTATGTTTCCAGTGTCAGATTTTATATGTGTTTTAATGTTATGAATCTCTTCAATAACATTTTGGACATAGCGGTATGTAGATGATAGACTATGGGTGAGAATGGTCTATTTTAATTTAATTAGAGGCCACTTACATTAGTTTTCATATGAAAGCATTTAAAATGCCTTATTGACATACTTACTCAGACATCATTTATATCCTTCTCATAGAACTGCTGTATTTATGTGCCTTGTCTTCTTGAAATTTTGTAATTTTTTGGTTTCATTTTTCTCTACTTTATGAATTGAGCTTCATCTATGGAGACCAGCGGATACTCAGAAGATATTTACCAGTTGGCAGCAGTCTTGTATGCATGTATCTGGGACTGTCCCCAGGTGAAATAGCTATTCTGAATAATTTTTAATAGTGTGAAAGGAGACTGTTATACCTAATTTAAAGCTAGGTTGAAGATAAAGGAATCTTAACCTTGCCCAAAATTTAATATTAAACACTATTAAATCATGAGAACAAGTGATTGAGTTATAGCTTGACTTGTAATTTTAAGTTTCTACTTTGGGTGTCACTCTGTTCCCTGTTTGGAAATCTCTAGACTAGCCATTTAGTAATGGAGGAAATGTGGTAGTGGTTTTAATGAAGAGTTAATATTCTGTATGAAATGCTGCTTTCCAGTCTGTGGGTACAAAGCCTGGATATTAGATAGATTCACTTGTACCCAATGGCCAGTATTCTTTTTTTATTTTAAGATTTATTTAGTTATGCATACAAGAACTGGGGTGCAGGCCAGAGGTGCAGCGGGTGAGAAAGTTCACCAGAGACATAGTGGGGAGTAAAACAGGTGGATTAACTGAAATACACTGCTGAGGGGAGCAGTGGGTGGGGCAGGAGAGGTCTGCCATGCCATGTGGGCCAGGGATTGAACTCACGCTGCAGTGGCTGCAGATAGCTTTAGAGTGCTACACTTTAACCCATTGCAACGTCAGGGAGGGCCCACAGTGGCCAGTACTGAGATGGGTGTAATCCCGAACTTTAACTCTGAAGTGAGGCTGTTTGAATATAAACCTTTACTCTGCTACGTCCATTTTGGGAAATCACTGAACCTTCCCCTTCTGTTTGCTCATCTGTAAAGTGGGGTTGAGAGTAGTAATTCCCATCTCATTGGGTTCTTATGAGGATTATGTGTCATAGGCCACTTGGGTTGTTAAAGCAACCACAGACAAGGTAGCTTAAATAGCAAGCATTTATTTCTCATAGTTATGGAGGCTGAGAAGTCCGATGATGGCTTCAGCAATTGGGGGCTGTTGAGAGTCCCCCCCGCTTCACAGATGGCTGTCTGCTCACTGTGCCCTCACTTGGATAAAAAGCCATAGATTCAGGGGTAGATTCTGTGAGAGTACCGCTCTCATTCATGACCTCCCTGGGCCCTTATTAGAGGACACTTTGAGGGCTAGGATTTTAACATAAGAATTTGAAGGCACGAACATTCCTTCTGTGAATCCTTCTATAAATCTCTTAGAATGTTGCCTGGCACACGTTAATATTATACATCTATGTATCTTAATATTCTTGTCATTTCATTTTACCATTTGTATTTTCAGAATATTCTGCCTGATAAAGAAATCACCGTGGACATGATAGCATTCCTATGGCAGAAATGTAAACCAGCAATTCAGCGGATCAGCACATCCAGAAATGACTATGCAAAATTCATCCAGAAACTCAGCACTAACAAAGTATTTGTTCTTGTTTCTTTTCACATTTTTTTTATTACTCCTGATTTAAACGGTGATGTAAATTTCAAACCCACCTGCATAACTACAGTTCTTTAAACTGAGCCTTTCTTTGAAGTGCGGTCCCTGAACTTTTCTCCTGCACAATTTTGGGAATTGAGAAGGTATTTCAGGTTTTTAATAAAGGTGTATAGTGTATCAAGATCATGTGAACTCAGATAAATTCACTAAAGAAGTTAATAATAGAAAGTATGAAGAATCAAGTAAAATGTCTCAGAGTTTTTTTCCCTCCTGCAGTAGTATATTTAGATGTTTGAAGTGCTCTTTTATGGGAAGGAGAAAGCAGGTGAATATTATCGTCTGGAAATTTAGGAGAAAATATTTTAACAGTGAGAGTCTTCTGTGATTCTGAGGGTTCCTAAGACTGGCTCTGTTCTGAGGCATGGTCATGATTGTAGTGACCCAGTAGTGAGCAGTCCTCTGACCAAGTCATGAAGGCAGTATAAACTTAGCTCCCAGAGAGTGATGACTAATTTCATGTGCTAAGCTTTAGGGTAGAGGCATGAAAGGATCTTTCTAGGGCATCAAGTGGGAACCTCAGTATTTTGAAGGACTAGATAGTGATCAGACCAGCTGCTTTCAGAAAAAAGAATGAGACTTTAGAGGATACAGATAATCTTCACTGATCTCTTAAAGTAATGATCAGTTTGATAATACCTTTTGATAAATTGATAATAAATAATTTGATACTAAATTTCTACTGATGGCTATAGATGCATAGCCCATAAGAATAACTAGATTGTCTACATGAATTTATATAGATTATCAAATGTCATATTATTAGGATCACTGATATTTATAGTATTTATAATTAAGATGTCCTAATAAGGAGGGAGAATCTGTGTAACATTTTCATATGACCAGAAGATGTTGATCTTAAAGAAGGATAAGTTTTGAAAAATGTGACTCTTACATTGTAATGTATTATTAATTGATTTAGCTGTATATTTTCTCTTTTCAGTGGGTTTATCTTCTCTGGCAGATAAATGAAGTCATTCAGTGCTATCCAATGGAGGATGTTGACATTGTGATGGTGGCAGAGGTCACATTACGGCTTAGTGAAATATTGGAATCTTTAGGAAACCCTAGAAGAAAATTTAAAAAATCCTTAGGTAAAAATGGCAAATAAAACCATATGAGGTTACTGATATGTGTGTGTGTGTATAGTGTGTGTTGATACTTACATATAAGTATATGTAGTCTCCTAGTGGTGTGTGTGTGTGTGTGTATGTATATATATTTCCTTATATATAAATAAGTAAGTATAAATTGGGTTGCAGGATAACGGTGTTAATGAAAACTAGCATTTCTGTATTGTGCTTCATTGACGGCTGATTATCACAGATAGAGATAGTGGCGGTTTACCAAGGGGAAGTTCAGGAAAGGTCATAGCTCTGTGCTTCACGGGCTGACAGGCTGTCTTCTCCTCACTCCTATTTCCCTTCTCCATTCCTCGTTACCACCTACTCCACTCTCCTCTTTCTCCCTTGCCTCCTTCCCCCTCTTTCTCCTCTTTTTTATTCCCTTTCATCCTTCCTCCATGTCCAGTTCGGACATGTTCAAGTCTCGTCTTGAAGGACGAGAACATGCTTTGGTCACGACTACACTTCGGCACCCCCCACCTGCCTCATAAAGATTGTTTGCTAATGGCTCATTGTCTTAACTCCTTTTTTATTTTTTAAAAAGATTTATTTATGTATGCATACTAGAACTGGGGTACAGGCTAGAGGTGCGGAGTGGGTGGTGAGAGGATGCATCAGAGACAGAGTGGGGAGCAGGACAGGCAGACTGACGAAGTCCTCTACTGAGGGAAGCAGTGGGCGGGTCAGGAGAGGTCTGTGGCACCCTGTGGGTCAGCTCTGGGGTGGGGATTGAACTTGTGCTGAAGTCGCTGTGGATGCTCTAACCCATAGCTACCCCAGAGAGGGCTCACGTTTGGGGGAACTTGTAAATAATTATGATATTTTGTTTCAAGGTACTCATTAGGTTGTTTATTAAAGAATACATTGTTTAATTTAATTACTGAATCAATCTAAATATAGGAAACTAACATTACCATGCAAACATTTCTAATTTATATTCCTTTACTTCAAACCAGTCATATCTGATATTTGTCTCAATTATTTTTTGAATGTCTTTTAATGAACTTTATTATGCAGTATACAGGAAGACCAGTCTCTTTAACATAATATTATCTTGTTGATAATCAAGATTTTTATTTGGCCTGTTGTACTGCAAGATCATTTTAAATTACATACAGATAAAATTTAATTATTAAATTAAAGTGTTGAATCCCTCCTACAATCATGAGTGATTTAAAAACATAGCCAATTTACATAATTTTTTAAAAAGATTTATTTATTTATGCTTACAGAACTGGGGTACAGGCCAGAGGTGCAGGGGGTGAGAGGCTTCACCAGAGACAGAGTGGGGAGCAGAAGAGGCAGATTGACAAAGTCCACTGCTGAGGGGAGCAGTGGGCGGGTCAGGAGAGGTCTGCCGAGCCATGTGGGTCAGCTCCTTGGCTGGGGCTTGAACTCGTGCTGCAGTGGCTTCCGCGAGCCTCACAATGCTGTGTTTTAACCTGTTGCGCCACCAGGGAGAGCCCAATTTTTAATAATCATAATTTACTGCTGTGTTTTTCTCTTACCTACTTTTCTTTATTTGCCCTGTTTTTTTTTTTCTTTCATTTTGTTTCTTTTCCTCTTCTCCACTCTTCCTTTTTTTTCTTTTCCCCCCTCTTCCTTCTTCTCTTACCTCATTTCTCTTCTTTTCCCTCCTCTTCTTCTCTCTGTACAGAGTTACCTGTAAGAAGAGGAACTGGTGAATTCCGTGGTAGTTCAAGAGGTAGCATAGAAGTTCTCCCACTACTAAAGGTATTGCAAATATTTTAGAAAATTTAAAATGTGAATTTTAACTTTAAATAATATTAAATTTTAAAAGTATAAGAGCTAGTTATAGAAATAATTCTAAATATTCAAAATGTGAGAATTATGGTTTCTACATATATTGAAACCACTTTCCTACCTTATGTTTTTACTGTAGCAAAAAAAATCTAATTACCTTTAAAAGTAAGGCAAAGGATCTTGAAAGGATTTATAGTTACATTCTTTGGATATTTTGTAGTGCTTCACTTTAACCTTTTATTTTTTCTCAAAGATTTTTTATTTATGCAGACAGAACTAGGATACAGGTCAGAGGTGCAGGGGTGATGAGAGGATTCACCAGAGACAGAGTGGGGAGCAGAACAGGCAGAATGATGAAGTACACTGCTGAGGGGAGCAGCGGGTGAGACAGGGAGTCTGCTGAGCCATGTGGGTCATCTCTGGGCGGGGGATGGAACTCATGCTGAAGTGGCTGCGGTCAGCTTTCAGTGCTGCCTTTTAATCTGTTGTGCCACCAGGAAGTGCCCTTCTTTGGATATTTTGAATTTGTTGTGATTCATAGACTTAAAGTGCAGAGATACGCACTCAGCGTATGCCTGTGACAGAAGAAATAAGTTACTACCTGTTTAAAGTACACTTAGAACAGCTCCTAGCATTTAGCAGGTTCCAGCCTTGCTTAGCAAGCTCTTGCAATTCACTTGCTTCATGGTAGTGGACACTTGGGTTTGTTTGTGGTCAGTCACTCACCGCCTTGATTCTAGAAGTCACAGAGGCTCGGTATACAACTGAATTGTCACGGCACCTTTTGTGATCTCTACTGTCCATTGGAACCTCTAGCTCTGTGTATTAAATCCCATTCTGCTTGAATATCTAGAGTTGCACTACATTTCTAACCATTCTATAATCCTAAATGACAGATGTATTGAGTTACATACACAGCATGAGAAAACTTTTCACTCAACTTATGGTTGAGTGAAAAAAAAACAAAAACCAAGCTGCAGAACTTATGGGAGAATTAAAAAATGCACAGTGCAATATTTTATATTATTAATGGACATACACACATGGAATAAGAATTTAAAATCACACAGGAGAATGGTAAATCCAAATCCAAGGTGGCTACCTCTAGGGGCAGCGAAGTGGAGTATCATTATGAACGGGGACTTCAGTGATATGCATATTGATCTTTGCTTGTTCCTAAAAGGTTCCTGGAGAAATCCAGAAAATTGGAAATTTTGTACAAAGCTGGTTGCTCTTTATGTTGATCTCTATATTTGTGTTTCTGTGAGAATAATTAGATTTTAAAAATGTGTTGAAAATCTGATGTAGAATGTCAGATTTGACGGCCTCCAAGTATAAGCTTCCAGCTCTGAGATTAAACAAACAAACAAACAAACAAAAAGCCAAACTCTCACAATAAAGTATTTGAGCAAATGACAGATTCTGTGCACTCTGCATTTAATCAAAGGCAAATATATAAATAGAAAGACAACATTGTTGATGCTGGAAAGGCTCCTTAAATTTGTTATTTGATTTTGAGTTGTTAGAAGAAGTTTGAGAATGTTGTATAGGATTTTCTCTTGATTTCTTTTTCATAAAATCACTTCAGATGAAACCTATGGAACAATTATTTTTGGCTTATAAACTTCTTGAGAAAGCAATTATTGGAATAAATGTGAACTGCATGTTAACTACCTTGCCAAATGGGTCTTCAGTGACTGACCACTGCTACACTAAGGTAAGAAGGGGGAGTCTTACTTTAGGTCAAAGTTTATGTAACTAGGAGAGGGGGTGGCCTTTCAGGTAGCCCTGGGTGCCAGTGGCTTCTTTCTAGTAGGTCAGTATAGATTCCCTTCTTCCCAGAAGAAATCAGGGAGAATGAGTTGTTTTAAAATTTGTTATTAAAGAAACCACTGATGATTTTGAAAAGCAGTTTTATTAACATGTAATCCAGATTGCAAAGGGTCGAGAAGTTAGCAGAATTTAATGACTTAGAGTAAAATGGTGACATGGGTGATAATAGGCTAGAGCTATGCTAGACTATTTTGATAATTGCATTTCTTTCTAATTTTTATTTCAACTGTCCCACAGTATACCCACAATATGGATGGAAACATTTACAAACCAGTTACACCAAATAGTTTCATAATGGATTTGCATCTTGAACTAATTCAATCCCAGCACCTAGTAGCTGTTGTGCTTCTTGACCAATTAAGAGGTAGTAGTGATCCCAGTAAATCCTTTGTTGGGAATTGCTTTTATGACAAGTTCAAGTATAGGATGAATTTAATATGTAAATTATGTTCTTGTTGATTGGGCTGTATTCCACATAAATTTCATTGTTTTGCTTACTTCTCTACTACGAACAGATATTTTTCATTATTTCTTGACCATTTGCATAGCAAATCAGAAAACTTCTAAGAAAAAATAAGCTAGTAGATAACTGGTATTTTCTTAAGTCAATCAAGCCAGTTGGCCAGAGAGCTAGTAAATACTGTCTTTATAAAGAAGATGAAAGATGATAATGAAAGCGGCCTTAAGCAAAGTAGAAACAAACCGTTGTACGGGCAGCTTCAAAACTGCTGCAATTCTGTGGATGAAGTAAAGAGCACACGAACAGTATCCAGTGTGTGAGTGCAGGCTTGGTGTCTCTAGAGCACAGTTATTCCCGATAGTCTAGTGGAGGGCGCTGTGGCATGCATGGGACACTGATGTCAGTGCGTGGCGGCGTGCACGGGGACAGATGTCGGAACAGGTCATTCCTGCAGATGTCATTCCTCCATGAACTCTGTGGACTGACCCTTTACGGGAGCTGCCAGGTGGCTGGTGTCTTGACGTCAGGAAGCGTAAGGCTCCTGCCTTTGTGCTTCTTTGCCACGCACTTTTGCCTAGGAATGGATACTGAATTTTTTTAAAAAAGATTTTATTTCTTTATGCATACAAGAACCTGGGGTACAGGCCAGAAGTGCGGGGATGAGAGGATTCACCACAGACAGAGAGGGGAGTAGAACAGGTGATCAAGTGAAATACACTGCAGAGGGGGGCAGGGGGCCGTCAGGAGAGGTCTGCTGTGCCATGTGGCTCGGCTCCCTGGCTGGGAATCAAACTCGAGCTGTAGTGGCTGCCAGCAGCCTCACAGCGCTGCGCTCTAACCAGCTGCAGGGAGGGCCCTGGATACTGAATTTTGTTGGCTGTTATTCTTCTGTCATGTCTTTAGTCTAGAGTAATTTCTGTAACTTTTTCTTTTATGATGTAATTTTTTAAAAAGATTTATTTATTTATGCATACAGAACTGGGGTACAGGTGAGAGGTGCAGGTGCAGTGAGAGGATTCACCAGACACAGAGTGGGGAGCAGAACAGGCAGGTGGACTGCTGAGGGGAGCAGCGGGCGGGTCAGGAGAGGTCTGCCACGCCTTGTGGGTCAGGGATTGAACTCATGCTGAAGTGGCTTTAGCTTCTTAGTGCTGCGCCACCAGGGAGGGCCCCTTGTGATGTAATTTTTAAAACACGTTTCTAGAAAATCCTACAAGCTAAATTTTCCTGGTAGTTTCCTCATGATCATATAGCTGGTGTTGTGGACATCCCATTGTATCACATTCAGTTGCACGTAGTATTCACTTTTCCTATTATTGGAGGAGAAAAGTGCTATTATTTTAAGGTAGTGTCTGTCTTCTATTGCTATCTCCTACAGAAACTTTCTTTATCCTTTCCATGAAAGAAACCTTATATCCTTTAATGGTGTCCTTTAGCATTTTTTCTTTAATAGGTCTACAATAGATTTCTTTCTCTTTTGTGAGGATACATTTCCTCTTATTAGGGAAAAAAAATTGGTATTGTAAAGGGATACTTGGGGATAGAATGAATGATCTATCTCCAACAGATTCCATTATAATGGTTGTACACAGTGATTTTTCTAACTGAACTGTTCTTACGACGTTTATTTGCTTGTATCTTTTTGTAAAGAAAGCTGTCCATACATTGCCCCTTTTAATTTAGGGGTAATACTTTGGATTTTATATTGAGTTAATAAACTTGTAATTTTTTTCTAGTATGGGAGCCTTGAACATCCTTTGGTTAGAAAAGATATTTAAAAATATTATATTCTTTTACCAAGTTTTCTTTAATGAAAGTAGCTCAAGATTCTTTACTTAGTAGCTGTATATCTTCCTTAGGGGAGAAGTAAGGTCTTATTTACTCATGAATTTACTAAATAGTTTGTTCTTTAATTGTTGTCCATAAATATTTGAAAGCCAAATGGTCCTCTGAGTTTTTATGAGAGCCCACTTAAAGGCACTGATGGTAGACTTGAGTGCAAATGTAAATGGAATTAGTTATTTTTCCTTTGCAGTATCTTGAGATCTACCTGATTTTTTCCCTCTGCTTTATTGAACTGCCTTCCTGGTATAGGTGACTATTTTGTTCCTCTTGTATTTCTTCACTCTCCTTTGCTGCCACCAGACTAATGTTCCCTAAATGCTGCTTGTATCATCTTTGTTCAAAAACTTTACAGTGATTGCCTGTTGATGACACTGGCATCAAATAGGATTCACATGTACTGATATTCAGAACTTTTTTTTTTAAGATTTATTTATTTATGCAAGAACTGGAATACAGGCCAGAGGTGTAAGGGATGAGAGGAGTTACTAGAGACAGAGTGGGGAACCGAATAAGCAGACTGACTGAAGTATACTGCTGAGGGGAGCAGCAGATGAGACAGGAGAGGTCTCCAACCTGGCTGGGGATCAAACTCATGCTGCAGTGGCTGCAGATAGCTTCACATTGCTGTGCTTTAACCCATTGAGCTACTAGGGAGGCCTTTTTTTTTTTTACGTTTCATTCTTATCTCCCATGATTATAATGAGAGTTAAGTAACAGCTCCCAGTTAGGTACTGAGAAAACCTGATGCATTCTTTTCTGCTTTGTGTTGGTGTTGCATGTTCCTGCAGAAAGTTCCCTTATCCTTTGCCATGAAAGAAACCTTATATCCTTTAATGATGTCTTTTGGCATCTTTTCAGCAATCACCATCCTATGGTGACTCACATATATTGGCATAAATAATCAAGCCTCAATAAAAGGATTAATGGTAAGGTGATTACTTGTACCCATATTGCCAGATTGGAAAAGCAAGAGTCAGGACAACATTCAGCACCTCCCTGGGTCAGCACAGCTTTCTCTTTCCTTCCTCATTCTGCTTGCTCCCTTTCCTGGACCATCATCATCAGTCCCGTTTGTATACTGGGATCTCATGCTGCCCACAATCAACAATTTGTATGTAGGTCAAAAATCTTGAGAGGCTCTGATTTCATCAGTCACAGTGAGAGGAGAGTAGAGGCCTTTATGTGGTATCCGAAGTTCTTGCAGGGATCTTAGAGGAAGTAGTTTCTCTAGAAAGAGTTAAGGGCAAAATTTTGTCCTTTGATTAGTATAAGGATATTTCATCTATCCTTCATGTAAAGGGAAAGCTAACAAAAGTAACCTGGATTCTATTTATCAAACTTCAAGATGATTTCATTTAAGGTGAAACAGAAAATAAGGTATTATCTCTTATTTCAAAATTCTTGTGTTCTCAGGTATACTATGGCAAGTAAAGGGGAATTTGACAGTCGAAGTCTACTTATAATAGATTTGTTTGAGTTTTTATTTGTGAGTAAAAACAGTGATATACAAAGGAGAAAATAATTTTGTAAACAGATAGCTACTCTTCTATGTTTAGAAAATATTTTCTTTCTTGGACACAAACCTAATTGTAATGGCAGTCTTCTTCAGTTTTGCAGAATCCAACTGTTAGCAAAAATGTATCTACCAAAGGTCCAGAAAAACTAAAACAATCTGGAGGCACTGACTGTTTTACAGGTAATTAAAACCAGAATCACTACCCTTCTAAAAACTGAAAAGATCATGTTTACATTGTTCTTTCAGTAAAATGCTTGTTTGCTTTTTACAGAGTTAAGTGTAATGAATAAAATAAAGAAGAATAAGCTATCCCAAGCAATTTACTTGATGCAAAAAGCTCTTTTAATGTTTGAGAAAGATGCAACATCTTCATCCTCACATAATTTGCTGATGGTAACACTATTTCATTCCACTTTTAGTCCTGATATACAACTTCTGTTAAAATGATTTCTTTTCCATATACTAAAAATAACGTGTTGCCCTTTACATTAAATTCTGGAATCTCAGGTTCACCTTGTATTGTTCTCACTTTGAGAAGTGGGTTTGTCCTCAGCAGGGGAACTAATGCTTTTGCTTCAGTCCTGAATTCTCCTGAGATGAGAAATTCTCACTCTTTATTCTCTCAATTGGTACAACCATTAACTGGGAAGCCAAATAAAGTTACAGGGATTGCAATTGTGGGGAATTATAGGATTTATTGGATACCACACCAAGGTAATATATTCCTTACTATACAATTTAAATACTTAAAGACCATTGGCAAAAGTCCCATCCCTTGGCTGTTTCTAATTTATGGACCAGTCACCTGTTGTCATGCCATTCTGACCTGGAAATTGTTCTGTCTTGCTGATTCATTACATATTGACTTTAGCATTTAAATTCCTGAGGGTAATCCCATTTCAAGTTATGGGATCTTTTGAATATTTTCCTAGGTATCTTTTGAATATTTGTATTGGCTGAGGGCATGGTACATGATAAAGTAGAAATAAAGCTACAAGTAGCTTGGTTGATAGGGGCTAGAGAAAAACAGGTCAAAATTGAAGATACAATAGAAAGATTAACACGTTAAACAAGAGTTCATAGAAGAGGGAAGGGAATGAGACATAAGGTACAAGGAAAGGATTCATCTTTGGTGTAGGCTGGGCTGCAGGGCAGTAACCTCATTCTGTGATAAAAGAGGGAAGAAATAATGTAGCTTAAAATAAGTCTTTTGGTATGGAGACAGAGACCTGAGTTGATGGCTTCTTGCTTCAATCATCTGATAAAGTTAAGAGGCAAGGGTGTTTGCAAACAATGCAGAACTAGGAGAGCAAAAAGATCTGGAGAGAGGAGAGGCCTGCACGTGAAGGTCTGGGTGAGCTTGAAGACCATGAATTCTCAGGGGGCCCCACCTGCGTGGTGGCTTCACAAGCTGGTGTCATGGTTGTGGTAGTTGTGCTGGTGCAGTTATTTGACAGCACAGATTTGTGCAAGGTTCTTCTTCTTCTTTTTTTTAATGAAAGCATCACTTGAAAGTTCATCAGAGTAAAAAATGTGTGTACAAATAGATAGATGAAGGAAGTGACATCATCAAGGTACTTAAAGAATAGTGACAATGTAGAAGTTAAGAGAATGGACATCTCTGAGGTCAGGATCCAGAAATGAGTCTGAGATAGAATAGTTTTTGAGATCAGAAAATAAATATTGCAATTTAAAATTTCTGATATGCAGCACTTCTTTGTCATTTCACTTATCCAATAAATATTTTTGGATGCCTCTGATTCATTCAGCAAATATTTATTGAAGGTTATGCTGTGTGTTTGACATACTGAATGTAAGGGGTAAAGACACAATTAAATATATTAAATTTATTTATCCAACAAATATTGATAGATTACCTTTTCTTTTTGATCCCTGCTTTCAAGATTAGTCTAGTCTATGGAACATGGACAAGTAAGTAGGTAATTATGGGTCACTTGCTTAAGTACTTTAATTGCAGGAGTGCCAGGGGAATTTGGCAGGGGAGTACCTAACTCAACAGGGGGATTTTTATGGAAGCATCCAGAAAAGGTGACTTGAAGTTGAGTACTGAATGACAGATAGGAGTAGCCAGAGAAATAAAGAGGACATAGAATGGAAGAGACATTGCCTATACAAAAGTACTGATGACAGAGAGATCATAGAATACTTCTAATCCTACAAGTCATTCAGTGTGGCAGACTCTTAGATGCAATGGCAAGAGGTGTTTCATGGAAGAGGATGGCAAGAGAGAAAGGAGTTCCCTCCTGGTGGCACAGTGTGTTAAAGCACAGCACTGCAAAGCTAACCACAGCTGCTTCAGCATGAGTTTGATCCCCAGCCAGGGAGCTGACCCACATGGCGTGGCAGACCTCTCCTGCTATGGGGAGCCTGCTGCTCCCCATAGCAGTGTACTTCATTGATGTGCCTGTTCTGCTCCCTACTCTGTCTCTGGTGAATCCTCTCACCACCCCTGCACCTCTCTTCTGTATGCATAAATAAATCTTTTTTTTTTAAAAAAAAAAGAGGGAGAAAGAAGTAGAATCTCCATTTATAAGAAGCCTTATCTAATTTAAGGATTTTGGCTACTGTCAATGTTCAGCAATATTGGACAGATGTTATTAATTTGAGAAATTCTATCCTAGAGGTATTAGGAGTTTCATTAAATTTGAACTTCCAAATTGTTGAATTTCATTATGTTGTATACCTGAAAACTACTACCAGTTTATTATGTCAATTATATCACAATAAAAATTGAATTCCCAGCATTTGAGGAAAAGAATATGATGGTGGTATCAAGTAGTCTGAGCTGACAAGACCAACAGGTCTTTTGGTGGAGTCTTCTGGGGTGCGCTCGCATCCCTTTTCTCAGCAGATACTTCCTGTGGCCGCGTGCTACCATCTAGTAATTAGACACGTTGACACATCTGTCCTTTTTCTATGATAAATAGTGCTGATCTTTTAGAACTTTTTCTCTCAGGTCTAATGTGGTCTCTTCTTTGTTTTATTTTGACTCTGTCTTGTCTTTCCATTGTTATACTATACCCACTGCCCTGTTTTGTCTCTGTCTTCCTCCCCCTGAGACTGGGGGACACACTGGAGAGGTAGAAAGTCTGAAGTTCTCATGTCCTCCGTGTGTATCTTTTCCTGTTTGCTAAGTGCAACGATTTTATGGAGAAAAAAAGTCCTCGGGACAGATGCATTTGAGAGGCTCCCTTTTAATAGGTGCTAGCACCCCAAGGGTTTTTACTGACTGGGAAGACATTGAATATTTATTTAGCAGCTCTGAAATCTTCTACAGCCACCTCTGCTCTGCAGTGGTAGTTTTTTATCCAAGTGTTAAGGCTTAATGATCATCCTCAGGGTACGCTCATAAACAACATGTTATGGCTTATATCATTGCCAAAGTTTCTACCCTTAAAAAAGACAAATAAATGTCTTTCCCTTGGCAATCATTTTCTACAGGCGGATATTATAGAATCTTTTACATTATCATGATCTCGTAATAAAATTATCCCCAAATCAGTAGCTGATGTGTCACCTGATACTATAAAAAGGTTTCAAAAGCTGAGGTATTTTTCAGAACTCTTAAATAATTCATGCTCTTTTAGATTTTTTTTCCCCCTGAAGTTTCCTGACCTTGTACATCTGTGCGATCTTTCTTTTTTAAAAAATATTTATTTTTATTTATGCATGTAAGAACTGGGGTACAGGCCAGAGGTGTGGCGGGTGAGAGGATTCACTAGAGAAAAAGTGGAGAGCAGAACAGGTGGATTGATTGAAATACACTGCAAGGGGGAGCAGTGGGCCAGACAGGAGAGGTCTGCTGCGCCATGTGTGTCAGTTCCCTGGCCTGGGATTGAACTTGTGCTGCAGTGGCTGTGGATAGCTTCATAGAGCTGCTCTTTAACCCCTTGCACCACCAGGGAGGCCCAGATCTATGCAATCTTATCAGCTGCCTGTTCTCTTTCAAGTCAATTAAAAGCAGGCCAACTTATTGTCATGAATGAGGGCCCAACCTTTGATAGTGCCATGTTAGCTTTCCAAATGTGATGACTGACTTGTTTCTCATTTGGATTATTTTTTAACATTTTCCTGTATTGCTTATTTGACTTCTAAAAGTTCATATTGGCTGTCTTATATAGGCCAGTTTTTCTTCAGCGAGTTGTGTCTGGAAGCAATCTAGATGTCCCTGGTCTTCTACATCTGATTGATTAAATGGGGGGATTAGCAGGTGAATCAGGAACTTTGCTTTTCAACTACTTCAGAGTCCACTGCCGCACACCAGCATCTTTGCTGGTGCAATTTCCCATTGGGAAGAGGCAGCATAACCTCCTTCCAAGTGCTAAACGTTACCAGGGCTGTGTACCGTTGTTTTCTGTCTGTAGCCTCCATTTCCCCTTCTAAACATCACTTTTTGAAGGATTTCTTTTCTTCCATTAAGTGGAATCAGGTGGGATCTTTTAGGGGCTTTCATCTCTGTTACTCAAGAGGAGACCTCGTGATGTTATCTGGGTCAATTGGCTGCTCTGTTATTGCAATTTGCATCTTGACCAGAGGGAGTGAAGAAAAAAAGACTTAAAACCAGCTGGCATTTGTTCATTCCAGGCCTGTGTCTTGATCAGACCCATTTTGGGACAAACCTCTTTTCCTGTTACTTCTGTTGCAGAAAACCTCAAATGGAAGATTTAGAGTCCCCCCCACCCCAATACTTTTTTGTTGGAACGTAGACAAAGAGTTGAGATGGTCTGAACAGTTCCAAATTCTAGCAACAGTGCTTCAACTCTTAAGCAAAAGAACATTTATAGGTGAGCAGATTATTTTTTATAATCAACACAGAATCTAATATTATTTTTCTATTTGGGGACCAGAATTAATGAAGAAGCCAAGGTCACCAGAAATTCCAATAATTCCTGACTTGAATATTTTCTGTTATTACTTCCTGTAAATATGTTAGCAGTAATTAGATTAGTGAATGCAATTATTTTTCCCTTTGTTTTTGGCACTTTAGTGAAATCAATTATTTTGCTTTTTTGGGGGGAAGATAAAATGTGAATTAACCGCCCTTCCACCCCCCAAGATCTTGACTCTTTATTTTTCCATGCTGAAATCTTCCTGATCACAACTGAATACTTTTTCTTTTTTTAAAAATTTATTTATTTGTGCATACAGAACAGGGACACAGGCCAGAGGTGCAGGGGTGGCGAGGAGATTCACCAGAGACAGAGTGGGGAGCAGAACAGGCAGATCTACGAAGTACACTGCTGAGGGGAGCAGTGTGTGGGTCAGGAGATGTCTGCTGCGCCATTTGGTTCACCTCTGGGGCAGGTGGGGATTGAACTCATGAGGAAGTGGCTTTCTATTCTTAGTGCTGTGCTTTAACCCGTTGCCCCACCAGGGAGGGCCCACAAGTGAATACTTTCTAACTCTGTCCCATATGGAATTGACCTGTTGGTTTCAGATTCTTAGAGAAGATTTTTACATACTTATATTTTAAGTTTTTTTTTTTTTTTACTCTCTTAAGTGTTTTAAGGATACTATCTAGGGGAAATTTCATCTAGGTTTTCTTTCTATACTTCTTTTAACTTAGCTATTTACAGTTAAGACAAGATAGCATAGCTGGTAAATAAGGCCTTGGACTTGAGTTTCGGTTCAGCCACTGACTAGCTGTGTGATGTAAGTGTAGTTACACCTGCTCTCTTAGGTTTTAAATTCTTTACCTGTAAAATGGGGCATCTTGGGAAGATTTAATGAAATGACACATATAAAATACTAAACTTACAGCACAGAGCAAGCAGCCAATACATGTCAGCCACTTTGAGTATGCTGGAACATTCTGCTTGTCATATCAGAATTCTGTTATGCTGCACTAGATGTATTTTTCTCTGCTGAACTATACACTTATTACTGCATTTTTTTCTTAGATTGATCTTATAAATTGTATACTTTATATTCAGAAATACTCATTCCCCAGATACGTGGGTATGACTGAATCTACATTTCATCTTCTTCTGAAATGTAGTTCTCTGGAGCACTGTGAATTCTGAATAGACCTCAGGGAGGTTTACTAGACAAGCAGTAAACAGCAATTTATCCTTCCAGTCTTAATGATAGTTGTTTGTATATGTCCTAATACACCCTTCAAGATTGCATTATATCTTTCCTTAAGTGATTTGCTGCATAAAAGTCATTGTCAAGTATATTTAACATTAATCTGTCCTTATAAAAACTGAGTATCTTCTGAAAAGAGGCAGGTTTCAATTTCTTCAAAGGGAACTGCAGGGAGAATTTACATAGTACGGTGGACCTCAGGACTGTTGCTTGACAGCACAAAACTAATTGAAAAGCAAAGCTCAGAACTTACTTTCCTGTGAGTTGATATGAAAGACTCTTTCCATTGAGGTTCATGAGCTGACTGAGAGACAAAATCTCACTTCACCTTTTAAGACTGGTCCATCCCTGCTATGTGCAAGGTACAGTGTTAGGCTGTGGAAGATGTGAGCATATAATTTTTATGTTGTTGTTATTTGATATATTATTGAGAACCTACTTCTCAATTTCAGAGAATTGTATAATAATGATAAATACATTAGACATATGAATAGATAGCATTGCCTAATGTAAAAGATATTTATTTACCTTAGTAGCTATTTTTTTACTTTTTACAAATGATTAAGTGCCTTGAAATATGTATACCACTGAGGTTGAGAAAACTTCATCTAGCAAGATAATGTTGTTTAAGGTGAGTAGAATTCTACAAATATAAATGAAACTCCAACTCTTGAAATATATTTTTCCATTTTTGCTCTTTATTATAGGAAGCATATTCTTTGATTGAGAAAGTTGAAGCTGAACAAAATTCCCTATATTCATATCAGAAATATTTGGAAAGTTCGGAAAGAAAGAAAAGCAGAATCCCTCCCCCACCCATCCTGATGTCTCGGACTCATTGTTCGGTGACATTAAAACCTGCTCCATTTATTTCAGATGTTAAGGTATGTTGTTCATTATGATCTTTTCATCAAGCAAAGCACCATAAGTACCTTTATGATGATAATGATCGATGCTTTTATTGCTTTTAAGACTTGAATAACCTTATTTATAAGCATTGAGCGCTGGGATCGGTATTCTAATGTCTTAATTATATTCAGTTTCTTTATGACTTTTTCCCTCTCTGCATTTCCCTTTACATCCTATATAGCCTCACTATTCCCAAATATGCAGTGAGCAGGAACAACAGAGGAGCATTTCTTTTTAAGTATCTCTGTCACCATGACACAGCTGCATCTGGCATCTTGATGTGCTCAAGTTTGAAGTCTCCATTGAAGTGGAATCAGAGGATAGCAGTTGTTACAACCCCAGTGTAAAATGGGTTGGCCTGAGTGTGGGCCCTCACCAGCTTAAAGAGACTTACAATGAGATTCAACCGCAGGCTCATACATACAAAAGATTAATTAAGGGCTCATTTACACAAAAGGGAAATGAAGAAAGGAATAACCCAGAGATAAAGAGAGAGATACTTGGTGAATGCCTCCTACCAGTCCTCCTGAGCTGGGGCCTCAATAACACTTTGAAGGCGGGCGGAAAACCAAGGACCCTCAAGGCCCACATGCTTGGTTATTCACCAAGCCTGGCTGTTTAACTCCACCCTCAGTTCCCAGCAGTCCTGCCTGCAGTGGTGATGGCATCATGGGGGTTTGTATTACTCCTTGGTGCCTTGGCTCCCCTAGGTGTGGGGTGGGGGGGTCAGGTCCATAAAGCCTGTGTTTGTGGTTTGTTAAGGACATTTCCTAACACACTTTCTCTGGAGAAACAATGATAGAGATAAGGAAATTTGAGAGTGGTGAATTTAGAAGTTCTTCCCAAAGTCCTCCCAAGTGAATGGGGTTTCTTTTAATGCAAACATTACAATTCTAACCGAATGCAATCATCAATCTTTATGTGTTTATTAAAGAATGGGCTCTTTCTCCCATCCCCAGTACTTGAAACTCGGCATAAGGTCGCTGTTAACTTGAGATTTAGTTTCCTAACAGGTATTTGGTTCCACTTCATTATGTGAAATCTTATATTTCCCCCTTTTTTGGATTACTACATGCTCTTTGATATGTTATATATAAAATAAAGTTCTATTTTTGATTACCTTTAGGATGTTCTTGGGCTAACATCAGTTTAGTGTAGTGGAAAGGGCACAGGCTGTAAAGTAAGGAAGCTGTAAGTTTAAAATTTAGCTGCACCCCTTAATAGCAGTACAGCCTTGGAGAATCAAAATATTCTTCTGGAGGTGTTTTTGTTGTTGTTTTCCCTAGTAAAATATGTTTAATGGAAGAGCAAAGTGAGGAAAACAAAAAATGAGATAACTTGTGAGTATTCTTGGCATTTTTCTGGTGGTTCTCCATCTTTTTTATTAACTGTATTAGTAGTTTGTTAAAAACAATTAATGCTCTTATGGAATGTGACTACATTATTGATTTTTTCCATTAATTCTGTCCAGTGAACATTATTGATTGTTGATTGTCTAACAAACTCTTGTAAGAGGTAATGAGATATAAAAATAAGCACAAATAAAGTCTGTTTCCACTCTGAAGAGCTTCAGATCAATGGGGGGGAGGGACGTCAGTGCACGATATTATCACCTTCATACTGCTCACTAACTAGGAGGTAGAAGTAACATTTATTTTACATCAATTGTACTATCATAAAACCTATGATTGTAGATGTTAGCATTTTTGAAGCTCAGAAGTTAGCTTTTTTTAGGTTTTGTTTAGGAGTAGGGATTCACTGCTTTTAAAAATTTAGCTCAGAATTGCATAATTTACCAAGCATTCTTGTTCATTTTTTTCACTTTGATTTTTTGCCACCAAAATTCCATTTTTTATGTATTTCTAATTAGCAACTGGTTTATTTCATTTCATGAAGCTTAGAAATAGGAAGAAAGAAGGGTTCCAAATTTGACCTAAAGTTGTAGGACCTGAGACTCAGGACATTCTGTGAAGTTTCCATAGAGTAGTAAGAGTTGTATACTCCAGAAAATTATTACCTTCCATGACCTACTCTAAACACTAGATGGTGCTATGGACTTAAATAAGTTTTCTGGGTTGAGGCTTTGGCCATCTTTTGTTTTAATCAAAATCGCCTGTTAAGGCATTCCATTTACTAAGGAGTGCTTTAGTAGTTGGAAATTCTGCTGTTATTTATAAACTTTAATGTCTAAAGTTAGTGATTTGTCCTTTTTCTTGTGTAGATTGTAATTTCACAATGCTTCTTACAGTTAAACTAAAACGTTTTCGTGTGTGGAACAAAACAAAAATCTAGTCTGTCTGTAAAAATGATTCTAGAGAGAATTTTATCCTTCAAATTCTGGTTTCAATATAGAACTTAATTTAGAGCAATAATGATGCAAGTCAGATAATCCAGTCTTTCTTCCTTTCTCCCCTCACCTCCTAGGAAAAATGGCTTTCTTTTTGCATGGGAAGTAAAGGGAAATCAGTGTCTAATTTTTTTTTTCAGATTCACATGATTTTTAGCCCCATCTACAGCTTCCAAGTTCTTTCAGTGCTCAGTCCTTTGGCCCTCTTACCTCATGCTCCTTAATCACCTAGGAAATTTTCTTTGGAAATGTAAGCGTTGGATACCTGCCTAAGAAATTCTAACTCACCTAAGGACTCATAAGTTTAGGTATATTGATTACAAAACTGGTTGAACTATACTTTAAAAAGTAATTCTGCTGCTGTCAGGGTTGAGAACCATAAAGCAGACTAGACTCCCTTTGGATCATTCAGCTGACCTGGAGGAAGAAAAAGCAGGTTAAATTGTAAGGGGCAGTTGTCTCTTAGAGACAATTACATTTCCCCTTTTTTGCTGCTTCCCATGTAATTTCAGAGTTGAGATGTGAGGTGTAACCTATGGGGAGAAGGGGACCTAGAGAAGATGATCCCTTCACCTCCAGCCTCCAGATATTATGGCTCCATCTTACTACACTTTCCAGACACCAACTGGCTCCCTTTCCCCTGCAGAGAGTTCAGTTCACTAAGGAATCTTCATTATTTAGATACCATGGCAGAAGGACAATTTTCTAACCACTTAATCAAGTTTAAGTTTTCTTGTGTCCATGGAATTTGCATTTTTTGGGGGGGGGTGTTATGTCTACCTAGAGAAATTTCAAAACAATATTTGTCAGAAAGTTTATAAACTGGAAAAAAGAATTACCACTCATCTTCCAATTTTACCAACAAACGCTACCATTGTCCTTACCAGGGAAGATTTTCTTAACAGGCTTTTTCATATAAATGTTACAATTCATATCTTGCTGCTTTTTCCATGTGCTGTTGGTTATTTTTATTTAATAAAATATGAAAATAATTTTGGTGTGGATCTCTTTGTCCTAGCAAGGTCAAGTCACCATTGGAATCACTCCCTGCCAGGTCTAATCTTAGGCAAGTTACTGTGCACACCTCTGCATCTCCATTTCCTGCAAAGCAAAATGATAATAGTCATCTCATGTCCAGAGATGTTGTGACTGTCAGGCAGTAGAGAGAAATTTCCCCACAATGCCTAGCTTATAGAACCTGCTCAATGAACGGCAATTAAAAATATTAATGGACAATATTTTAACCTTGGTAGTGCCAGAAAAGTGTTCCTTGTGCCACATCATGGTAAAGAAGTTGAGTGTTACAGATGATGGATGTGTTTTCTCTTCGGCAGGTCTCCTGGTACTGCATTTTGGGTTGCAAAGCGAAAGGGAGCTATGGAAAAGTAAGGCTAAACAATAACCATCTCCCAAACTCAGGAGAAGCGGTAGGTAAAATTAAAAGAGGTCTTGAAATTTTAATTAACAAAAACCATGAAGCCTTACCAAAAGCCTCACTAGTGACCAATGATTTTTTTTTTCCTTTTATGAGCCATTATTTTAGTGAACTTCTCTAATTTAAAGTTGAGGCATAACTAAACTCCAAGTAAATGAGCATGTTAATTTTTTACATGTAAGATTCATTTAACTGTACTTTCAAGGTCATGTAACCTTTGAAATGGTGCATGGAGCTGAATCAAAGGTGAATTTTTATTCAGTGAGAATGAAACACCTTGGCAGTATTGAACAGTTTCAGAACTTTGAGGAGTCATATTTCGAATAGACTTCTCAACTTTCTTTACTACACAGACATTAGTTTTGGATCCCTATTCCGTCCTTTTCAATACAGATTTGAGAAATCGCAGACAAGGACAGCGCTACCATTCTATCCCCTTTCAAATCCCATATCACTTGGAAATTTCATCAAATGTTAAATATGAAATAAGAGTTCTCCATCTCTTGGAACTTTGTAGGAATAGGTAGTTTTAAGACAACTTACTAATAAAAAGAAGACAGCAAGGGAGTTTGGCATAGACTTACACACATATTTGATATGTTGTGAAAGTTATTCAGACCCAAACTCTGTTGTTATTCCATATTCTGGCTCTTAGTGTTAAAGGATATTTTATTCATTATAGCACGTGGCAGAGTTAGGAGAAAAGAAGACTATCTGCATGACTTGGGGTGAACAAATATTTTTTAAAAAATTGAACACAATTGCTAAAACAAGTAAACTAACATTAAATTTAGAAATTTTGTTAATCAAAAAACACCATGGAGAGAAGAAGAAAGAAGTGTTGAGCGGATACTTTACTAAGCAAAGTATGTATAAGTATTTGCTTCCAAAATACATTTAAAAATATTTGCTTCCAAAATACATTTAAAAGTATTTGCTTCCAAAATACATTTCAAAATCTTAAAGATCAATAATAAACAGGCAGATTAACCTTAAAATGGGCAAGTTTCTTGAATAGGAACTTCAAAAAAAGAGGATATCAAAAAGATAATATTAATCTTTTATACTTTATGCTTTGGTTAACAGATACCAGCTGATGGTAAAAGCATTTTCGAAGTGAAGGGTTTAGAAACCAATGAAAAATATATATTTGCAATTGCTGCTTATTCTTCTACTGGGAAACTTGTCGGAGATGCCGTGGGGGAGTCAACTAAACCAATTCTGATTTACCCACCTCTTTCTGCTGTTACTGCTCGAACATTCTTAACACAGGTAAAAGAGAATTCTGCTAACTTTTCCTTTGTTTTCTGTTAAGCAGCAGTTACGAAATACTGTCTGGTAGAAGGACAGTTACAGCAGATGTTCTAACGCTCCTGCTGAGCATCTCTTATGTTGTAATTTAGTCTCATAAAACGGGATTCATTCCTTCTCCCAATAATGAATTTGCATCTTACAATAACTTTTTCTCTGGATTACAAATGTGACACTATTAAATTTAAAATTTGGCTTCTGGGGGATGTTTGCCAATGTCAGGAGGCATTTTTGGCTGTGATTACCTAGGCATAGTATAGGGACCTAGTAATAGAAACCAGTGATGTTGGTAAGCACCCTGTAAGGCAGAGGATTGCTCTGCCATAGAGAGAATTTCCCAGTCCGGATGTCAATAGTGCCCCATGTGTGTTCTGCATACAGGTGCACACATCCATATGCACTATACACATACACATGTGCATAAATTTGTGTATAATCTGTAATTTCAAGCATAGTGTACATATTACATTGATCCTGATATTTTCATTTATTATGTCATAGGCATTTTTCCATCCCATGAAGTAGTCTTCCAGAACATAATTCTTAATGACAGCACAGTATTACTCCTTAAAGCTCTATCACAGTTTACTTAGTAATTCTTCATTGTTGGAGATTACTTTCTGGCCTTTGACTATTTATAAGCAATGCTGTGATGTGTATCTTTGTATGTAATTTTTTTGCCTGCAGCTGTGGTTTCTTTTGTGGGATAAATGTATAGAAGTGAATTGTCTGTGTTAATAGAGACATATATACTTGAGTTTAAATTTCAGCTGCTTACATGAGTTATGCGCTTTTGGCAAGGAAGTTCATCTGTGAAGTGGGAATAATAATAGTAACTGCCTCCCAGGGATATTATGGGTCATAACTGGAATTAAGCATGCCAAATGCTTAACCAATAGCACTTACCACACAGTAGGCACTTAAGATATATTATTGTTTTTAATTATGGATATATTAATGAATTAATCCTTATGACTGACTAACTTAAAACGTATCACGAATGAATAGGGTGCTAAAAAGAATGATCCATTGACCTAAGTCTCAACATCTAATTTTAAGCAGCTGTAGAGCTGATGGCTATTCTAAATTTTATCTCATTTTCATGGCGCTGTTTTTTTCTCTTAAGAGTTTATTAGCATTATAGACTATAAGATCTTAGTGGCATTTTATATTATCATATTTTTCAAAGAAAATTAAATTGAGAGAATTGCTAGGATTTGTCTAGCATTGGTTTAGCATGTCAAATCGGCTCATGGTTTTCTGATGTTTTTATTTCTTTGGAATCTAATATATTCTCTAATTTGCAGTGATAGAGTTATTTCAAAGTGAGGAACCGAATATTTCATCAAGGCCTAATTTTTCTCCAGGGAGTGGTTTGACTCTTGGGCTTCATTTGGCAGAACTTTCATTGAAAGTTAATAAAACTAAGTCCAGGCTTACTGCTGGGATAATGAGAAGTGTCATAAAGTAATGACCTGTGTTTCTTTATTGACATTATATTTGCAGCGCTGGCGTTCAGTTATGACAGTTCGTGAGCATTCTCTCTCGTAATGTTAAATGGCTAAAACAAAATTTTCTCAGTAAGCCTTCTCAGTTTACAACTTAAGTTTCAGTTTTTAATTTCCAGCAAGTAAATGTACCTTTCTTTGGGAACTTCAATCTATTTTTCATGAAGGTGGTTAGCTTTTAGCTTCAGAACAATTCTATTATTCAAGAAATGTTGTCATCAATATAATAAAATAGGGAGATAGTTCAGTAAATGCCTATGATTAACTAGAATTGGGATTTTAGATTGTACATTTATTCAACATTATTCTGTGGCTGTTAAGAAAATCAGACAACTCTTTATTAGGTTTCCTTTAATGTACAGATCCATTAATTTAGGTGGTCTGAAATTTTTTTTTTTTTAAATTTTTTTAAAGATTTATTTATTTATTTGTGCATACAGAACTGGGGTACA